ATTTCACTTTCAGATATATTGATGAGGTCTTGTCTTACATATCAAGAAATGTATTAACCACGTCCATCGTATATACCCAACAAAATTGGAAATAAAAAACACAACAGATACTTCAACATCAATCGCTTATTTCGATCTTTTCCTAGAACGAAGCCAATATATGCAAATGTAATAATTTCAATTTCCCTTCTGTGAATTTATAATTTCTGGATAGAAACATCCTTACATCACCGATTATGGTGCTTACATGTGGCTGTTTATTCGACATCCAAGGGCCTGTTCCCATAACCACGATTTTCGTGCAAGAAATCGTCAACTTACGTACAAACTTGTAACTAAAAAGATGAAGGATAATGAAAATTGATTACGTTTTACGGTCGTCATAGTGATCTCATTGAGAAACATTCTATTTAATTGTGCGGCATGAAGCTGAACGTTTTTGATGCTCTTGGTTTCATTGTTTTATACCTTGTTTTCATTTGAGAACGTGACATTATTTACTTGGATTGACCAAGGTTTACACGGCAGGTGTCGTCGATCGATAAAGCAGAAGTTGCTTACTCTCTCGGAACACCTTGTTTTATTCTCCTTGTACATTTTCAGAAGTCTACGTGTTATTCTTTCTTTTGTTCTTATTTTACCCTAGTTTTATCAATTTGAGTTTGGAATTATGATGATGTTGATATTTCTTGTTTGTTATATCATTCATACGCGCACACAACACGATAAAACTGCTTAAAAACAAATGATTTTGCAGTATGATCAATTTACATCCACAATTAAAGAACGTGATATCAAGAAGGTGTCTTAGTTTTCTTTGGTCCCCAAAATAAATCATCGGAAGACATTAGCTGATCAGGAATGATTATAAAGCAAACGTGTATCATATACTAGTAGTCTTTTATGCTTACCTTGGACAAAGGTAAACAATTTTCAAGAGTGTTGTAAGTATCCACTGTACGTATGTAGGCATGCCCAGTCCTAATGTACACACGTGAAAAACTTTTTATGAATTAGCGCCTTTGTGTTTTTTGAGTAAATTTCCGGTGAAAATCACGCGAAACAATACTGCAACTTACAAACAAGAGTGTTGTGACGATGGAAATATAAAAAAAAAAAAAATTTCAACTTGTCCTTTCTGAGTTATTATCGGCTTAAGATAGCTCTCATGTACATATGTATATTGTGTATGAGATAGCCCTCCTATACAGATGTGCATTAGCTTGTCCCTCTACATTGCCAACAGGTGGTTTTGTTAGTAATACGAAGTAGTATGATTTAAGTACACTAACTCGCCAGAAAATAAGACATACTAAACATCAACACGTGAAGCGTATCCTCACACGTAATACATTAACTCTCACCACATTATGACATCAACACACGGTCATAACTTTTACCGATAAACGCCACTATCCGTTTACCGAGCGAGGCTCACTGTCATTTGTCTCTATCTTATGATATATATATATACATAAAATTGTTAAAATATTTTGTTTCCTTTAGCATTGAAATATTACTCCGAAACACCAAGCGTTACCCCTTTATAAGCCATTCTATTTGTGCGTCTAGCTTCTAGCTGTGTAAACAAAGCCGTAATTTCAATTCCATGTCCCTGATATGAGCAAAACCATTTAGCATGTTAATATCACGATAATGTCATATCTTCCGTAAAGGTCTGTGCTTAATAGACAACTCCTTTTTTCAGAAAAGTCAGACGTGTTTTAAGAAAGTAAAAAGAAACTCTTGTACAATATAACAGATTAAAGACAGATCTTGGCGTCCACCATCTGAGGAAAAATGACTGCTGAAAGTGTATAGCGCGTGCTTTTTTGGACATTCTTATGTGTTAAATACGCATTACAATAAATGAAATTCAAGACGTTAGCTCATAGATACTGATGTTTAACTTGCAACGACATAGAATGCCAGAGTCAAATCCCACACTATCGCCATATTTCCATAAAAATATGAAATATGGTCGTTTTATGATCGACTTGTGACAAATGCACCTGAATCGTTATCAACATCCTACTTGATATCAATTAGAATATGCTGTGAAACAGTGTTAACATCAGATAAAAATCAAACGGACCAATGATCACGATCTTGCACAACAGGGATAACATTCCGTCACCTTACGACCGATTACTAATTTTGTTTTGTTTAGAACATTTTCATTAATAATAAGTTAGCCTCTCAACCGGAACTAGGTACCGGAAGTTTCAATGGCGCCAAAAATGGACAATTTGTCAAACCAGATTAGCCAAGCAATTTGCTACATATCCTGGGTATTTTGCAATCATCTTAATCAGCAAATTCCTTGTTATCTGGAAGAAACCAGACGGAATTGACAATTGTATATGATGAAAAGAAAAACAAGTTGTCCAAGAGAAGGGCACAGTTTCATCCCAAGAGTGAGCTAGCTGGAAAAGTCAGTTACACCATGTTTTTCATCAACGATTTAATCGGTCAGACAATATTCCCGTTCCTTCATCTTCCATATGCATATAGTTCTCTTTTTCATAACTATTCGCATTCTCGGCTGAGGGATGATATAGGAGTGGCAAAACTTATGTGTTCTATAAGCTTTTAAGAAAAACTGTAAAATAGATATATAAAGCTGACAAAATATCTCGAAAGTCCTCTTTTTGAAAAGTCCACATTAAAATAATCATATCGACAACAGAACAATATTCTGAGAGCTCAATTCGGACAAATTAGGACTGCATTAGGACTGATATTTTCAATTCGATCTGGCGCTCTATTAAATTTTTCTCTCGGTGGCAGACCGATATAAGCCGATCAAACCCAAATAATGCCGAAATCTAGTTGGCGATCCAAAACTAGGACTAGGCATGGCCGTTATATTACGCACTCTAACGGAAACATTCATTCAAAGTAGAGTGTCGGTAGAGAAAAAACACTCGTATGCGCGAAATATACCAGCCTTGATTAATTAACCTCAACAAAATATGTAAATGAGATGACACGAGATAACTGGGATCACTACGTCACATTATCACGATCATTCTCCTTCGTCGTGATTTGCACACAGGGTTAGGTAATAATTATTATACTAAAGTAAACAACGCGATGACTTTTAACCCGCTAAAAAATGCGAGATGACCCGCAAGGTAGAGTTATGTTAGAGGCTAATGTATTCGTGACAATCAGCGATGCTATTGCACGGTACATTATGTAAATCTCATCCGTGAAGTATTTTTCAATTTGATAACAAGTTAAATCGAATTCTATTAGATAGTCATAAATAAATTGATGTTGATGTTACCTTGTTATATACATTTCCTCGTTCATCTACTTGAAACATGCTAATATATGCATACATATCATTTTAAACGTCCTATTTTAAATGGAGCACTAATTATTCCTTTCCACATTTAGACCTATCGAAATAAATTAAACAAGCTGTCTAAAGGGCCTGTATCTCTCATGTGGTATACACAAGTTTGAACTTATCCACATAGCAAGGTAACATATTTCACAGCTAAGGGCAATACACTGTATGACAATCGAGAACACCATAATCATGTTTTAAACATTTGTTAAAACAACTTAAGGAACATATGAAATGCTGGAGATCTTTCAGTCGTCACTTATTCAACTAAATACTGGAGCTTAACGAAATACATTTTTTCCATGTCCATGATTCAACAATCATTTTCTGATATTCGATTGCTGTGTAAATAAAATAATCAATACCAAGAATGAATACTTGCGCTATCGTTTACTATGACCTATGTTTCTTTAATTGTAAATAAGACGTTGAATTATAATCAATTCTTTTCGATCATAAAGCTCGATGGAATCAGTTTTTGAATTACATAGATTTATAATATATATATATAAAACATATGTCAGAAAATAAAAACATTTAACATAAGCTTGACATCCATAAGTTCGTTTATATAGTAGTAATATTTATCATTGTTATGTTGAGATGAACATACACAATAATATACTAACATTTGCATACCTATTTTGATTTAATCATATACTGGCAATAATTCTCATCACTGATCATTGTCGTTATCGTCACAATACATGAATACAAGCTATGACCCAATAAGAAAATCACCCCCTCTCCCCTCAGACACACACACACACACACACACACACACACACACACACACCATCACACACACACACACACACACACACACACACACACACACACACACACACACACACACACACACACACACACACATATATATATCTTTAATAGGGAGGAAAAAGCAAGATGTGAGGAAAGGAAAAGACAGAGATAGATACGAAGACAGACAGGGGCAAGATAGGGAATGCATGTTTTTGACAGAGTACTTTACTTTAAGTCCCTTAAAACCGGATTACACCACAACGGTGACATGTGGTAAAACTAGATCGCGGTTACAATCTGGAATGCAAAACAAGGTCCGCCTGTGTATAGGATATGACGATAACATTTTATTACGTCAGTATGATTAAGCTTCCCTATCCCTCATTTGTTTTTAACGACAATTATATTCTCTTTATTTGACTTTTAACTAGACTTTAGTGCATAAATGGAATAAGAAAGTTCCACATAAACATATATTTTTCAAGCATTTTATATATAATAGATAAGCTGATATTGTTTTGTAGTTATAATGTCATTATCTATTGTTATTATAGAAGACTAAAACTGTAATAGTACGACGTATCAAATTTCTATAAATCGATATATTTTATTACTCCAACCCCTCCTTATACATCACAGGTATCGTTTAAATTTCGTCTATGCTGATCTGTGTCGTTTGTGTATATCAATAAATTTTGCAAATAGCAGGTGGCAAAATAGAACGGCTGTAATGTTAACTGCACCTCAAATTAGACCGGCTGTAATGTTATCTGCACCCTCAAAGGTTGCAAGATGACAAAGCACTTTGCTGACCATATATATAGGAAGGACTGGGGAGTACATGTAGATCTACTTGTGACAGCCCTGACAGAATCATAACATGGGTAAATGCAAGTTCTGGACCTTAAGGTCCAACTTTCAGGGACAAGCGAAGTTGTCGGATTTTCAGCTTGTAGAAGAAGACATCCCTACCAATCTTAAGGATGGAGGTAAAACTTGTTATATATATAGAAATAAGATGAAACTTTATTCTTAATTTGAAGGTAGAGGAAACAACAGGCGGTAGAATTTTGTAGATAACCTGAAGATGGCAGCTATTTGAAAAAATGGTTGTGAACGCTTAAAATAACGGGAAACTAGTCAGCATACACGTGTGGGTCTAACAAGAGAACTGGTGTTAGCTATACTACCTAACTCTAACACAACGTTAACCTAGTTAACATACCAAATTTGACATGAGAAGACAACTAGTGTTAGCTATACTACCTAACTCTAACACAACGTTAACCTAGTTAACATACAAAATTTGACATGAGAAGACAACTAGTGTTAGCTACACTACGTAACTCTAACATAACGGGAAAACTAGTGAACATACACACGTGGGCCTGACAAAACAACTAGTGTTAGCTATAATACTTAACTCTAACACAGCGGAAAAACATATGGTTGATATTTAAATGAAGGTGTATGATGTTTTGTAACATAATGTTGTCAGCAGAGTTATCTATTTATACATGTTTATTGTAAACACGTAGGATTGGCTTTAAATATGAATGTTGTATTTTCTCAAGAAGATATTTTGTTAAAATTTCTTAATGTCTCGTGATTTTCTGTTTATTATTATTTTTTTACTCATTCTCTTTTACAAACAAGTAACCTTTTGCAAACATACATTAATTATTTTGTTCGAAATAAATATATTTACACCACGTAAATGTTTTTTGTGGATAAAATATGCGTTCTTGGCTATAACCGGATCTGAAATATCTACTCGAAAATACAATATCCTCGCATCATTGGAGTGAAAACTTGCCACTAAGATATATGTTTGTTTGGTCACAGAATTGGTATGCGAGGCGTTGTACCTGTCCGTGGATCCTTACATGAGGTGAGAATATGAGCTCAAGGAGGCGAACACAGACATAAATTTTAATAGAATTTAGTTAGTGTTTGTGGACTTAAAATAACACATAAACGTATCAGGTATTGTGTATCCTGGTTTTTTTTATCAACGGAAACAAATACAGGTAATTATCATGAGTACATACTTACACAAATATATTATGCATGTCCAACCTATTAGTACAAAACACAGCATTATTATTTTTAAAATATTCGTGTCCCATCTCATATATTTTAAAAGCTGAATATGACTTTTGTTCCATTGTATTTTCATACGAGGGATGATTAATAAGTTGTGAGCCTTGTAATGAAGAAGGTAAGTAGAGATGTCCTGTTTCAGCTCTACTATTCCCCGAATATTCAAGGCTGTGTATCTGCAGACTGGTGCCATGTGGTAAGTTTATGTCGAAGAGGTACCACCCTTAATAAACAAGTGACTTTTGTTAAATGGAAAGAGCAGTGATTCAATATTTGAATAAATGTCTAGCATCTAAGGATATCCATATTGATATGATAGCAACACTGGGGAATGTTGCCCCTTCATATGCTGCAGTGGAAAGGTTATTGCCTCGGTTTTCCGGGATGCTGATGGTATTCTGATGGTGGATTATCTGCAAAAGGGATAAGCAATTAATGGCACATATGCATCACATCTTGGGCTGTTGAGAGAACCTCAAGCGCTGCGTCAAACACATTAAGGTGTGGTGTTTCACCAGGACAACGACCTTGTTCACAAGTCTGTCATTGCCATGGCTGTAATTAACGATTGTGGCTTTGAATTGATCGTGTTCCCACCTTATTCGCCTGATCTCGATCAATCAGACTTTCATCTATTTCCAAAATTGAAAATGCCATTTCCGGTCAGATGATGACGTTATACATGCAGTGGAGGACTTTTGAACAGTCAAGAAAAAGACTTTTTTAAAAGTGGCATTGAAGTCCTAAAACATCACTGACAAAAGTGTATAGATACAGAATGGGATTATGTTGAAAAATAATGTAATATGTCCGCTAAAAGACAACTTTAAATATGAGGCTCACAACTTATCAATCAGTCATCATATTAACGCGTTTCTTTCTTTGTGTTCTCTCATGAAGTAAGTAAAACTGTATATATGTGTTAATTTGAAAAAAAAATATTAATATTAAATTGTACCAACTACAAATAATATTCTAGCACGGACTATCATAGAGATGATATGCGCTTAGAAATGTCTACTATGGTAAATAATATATATCTTAATTTTCTTTAGATTATTCTCGGATTGGTCAGAAGTTGGCAAGCCCGTCGTAGGGGAGCAAGTAGCCAGGTAAGACACTTTCTCGGCCAGCTACATGTTAATCTGACAGAGTGGACCGAAGGGTAGTAACTGTGGGGGATCCGAATGGGTTCAAACAAACAGGTACTGAACATAGATTGTGATGTTTTATACCTTTCTATTTTTTTTTTTTTTTTTTTAATTTTACTTTTTTTTATGTTTTATACCTAATATACCATTCTATAGCATACATCCTCCATTTACTACACTATTTATTACAGTATTAAGCTCTTAACATGGAGAATACACGAGATAAAAGGTATTCCACATTGCCACATAGTCAATTTAAATTGAAATAAACATGATAATTAAGCTGATATCCATAGGTCGAAAACGTTGAAGTGAAATATCACATGAAACACTAGAAAGAAATAGTTTTATTTATATGATTTTCTGTTTCCAGGGTCACGGACAGTAAGAACGCAAAATATCCCGTCGGTTCGGTAATACGTCTGTCGTCCGGCTGGAGATCACATACACATGTCAAAGATGTGTCCACTATCGACGTTATGCCCGAATTGGGTGATCTCCCTTTGTCGCTCACACTTGGAGTAATGGGAATGCCTGGGTATGAAATTTAACCATCATCTGTTGTTCCTATTGATATATTTGAAATATTTCCTTTTAAACAAAAAAGAATATATGCATAGTATTACTAGACACTAAAGTAATATTTGATAGCTGTTTGTTGTAATATTTGGTATATTTTGATGACAACACATAAACCATATTATTCAGGATGACGGCATATTTCACTTTGCTTGACGTTCTGAAAATCAAGAAAGGCGAGACGTTACTTGTGAGCGGCGCAGCAGGTGCAGTAGGAAGTCTTGCTGGACAGATCGGTAAAATAATGGTAGGGTTATTTCCTTGTTGTTGGTTGTATTTCTTTTTGAAAACAAAGATACCATTCTTTTGAAACAAGCAAGTGCCAGAGAAATAAAATGCCATGCAAAGTGTTTTATTGCAAAAACGAAAGTCTATGGAAGCTTAAAATTGCAGGTTATAAAACATCTAGTTTTCAGCCGAGAGACTGCAGGATAGCAACAACTATTCGTGGGAACCAAATGAAACAAACGTGTTCCCATTTCATTGTTCACACTATGACAAGAAAAAAGGCATTAAGCACTTTCTATTTTTCTTTTTCGCACCAGGGATGTACAGTAATCGGCTTTGCTGGGACAAATGCAAAGGTCAAGTGGCTAAAAGAGCTAGGGTTTGACCATGCGTTTAATTACAAAACTGAAGACGTGGGCAAGTCTATTGACAGGGTAGCTCCAGATGGTGTGCACTGTTATTGTGATATGGTAAATCATACCTGTCTTATTATACAACTTCTTAACAACAAATGATTTATTTTGGTAGCATGATACGATGGTAGTCAAAAATAATTGTTTTTTGTATCTAAAGTTCGTTAGATATTTAGCTTTTCCTTAGCCATCAGTAATTCATTTTTTTAGTTTGGAAAACTTCAGTTTTGTCAAAAATAATATGTTTTCATCAGTAATGCTAATTTAAAGATAGTTAATTCTATCATCGAAAATACTAAAATGAAAAACTCTTTTAGTCAAAACTAATATGTTTTCATCATTAATGCTAATTTTAAGGTAGTTAATTCTATCATCGAATATACTAAAATGAAAACTCTTTTAGATATTTTCCAATATACCAAAACAGAAAGAAAAGAAAAGTCAATAAAAACCATATGACGTTATCATTTGTCAAGTTCTCAACCTTCCCTGACTCATTGACCAAAATAGAAACCACTTACATACAAACAAATTATCATATCTTGTCTGGAGTATTGCTCAATCAAATTCTAAAATGATGTGATGTTGCAGGTTGGAGGCGAAATCAGTTTCCAGGTCATCAAACGTATGAGGGATCATGGCCGAATGGTAGTGCTTGGTTCCATATCGACGTACAACAACTCTACTGAGACAACAGGTAGTTCGACATATCATCAAACAATACATGTTGATTTGAATATGATTTAAAAGATACTCATACACTGAACTAGAAACATCAAAATCAAATCATGTGTTATTTACATTCACACTAAACAAGTTCATCTGATATGAAATAACGTACATGCAATTTTCGACATAACCCCCCTCCCCCCCCCCAAAAAAAAAAAACAAAACAAAACACCACCACCAAAACAAAAAAGTCGAATATCTGAATCACATTTAGTATTTATATAATTCTTGTTACTCACATTTAGTATTTGTATAATTCTTGTTACTCACATTTAGTATTTATATAATTCTTGTCACATTTAGTATATAATTCTTGTTCACATTCAGTATTTGTATAATTCTTGTTACTCACACATTTCAGTATTTGTATAATTCTTGTTACTCACATTCAGTATTTGTATAATTCTTGTTACTCACATTCAGTATTTGTATAATTCTTGTTACTCACATTTAGTATTTGTATAATTCTTCTTACTCACATTTAGTATTTGTATAATTCTTGTTACTCACATTTAGTATTTATATAATTCTTGTTACTCACATTTAGTATTTGTATAATTCTTGTTACTCACATTCAGTATTTGTATAATTCTTGTTACTCACAATCAGTATTTGTATAATTCTTGTTACTCACATTTAGTATTTATAGAATTCTTGTTACTCACATTTAGTATTTGTATAATTCTTGTTACTCACATTTAGTATTGATATATTTCTTGTCAATCACATAGAGTATTTGTATAACATCTTGTCAATCGTGCTGTATTTGTTATATTTCATACTTGTAGGCCCTTACCTGTTTTCGGATATTCTGACGAAGTCACTCACTATAACTGGATTCATCATATTCAATATCCGAGAAAAATGGCACATTGGTGAGAAACAAATGGCGGAGTGGATTAAAGAGGTAGGATTTATATTTAATATTGATATTTAACAGTGCTTTAATATTTACGGTGATTCATGTACAATATTTAAGTGTTTGAATATTTAAGTTGATCAGTGAACAATATTTAACAGTGTTTGAACATGTACGGTGATAATTGTACGATATAAAAGTACTTGAATATTAAAGAGGATTTGGTTTCAATGGAATGAACTACAGGAGAAGTTGTCACAACCTTATAACTACTGGAAATGTCACGAGTAAAATCCAAATATGTCTGAAATGTTCTTTGTCGCACCGAACCGAATTTACACGTTAAAACTAATCTTACATCCATTTATTGTAAACAGTGTTTTATTTTCAGAATAACATGAATATATAATTATACATATTGAAACACATTGGGATTAGGAAACAAGCTTGAAGCTTATATTAATCCTTCTCCCAGAAAATTATTTGTATAACAATTACGTATGGTGGCCTAATATACACTTATATTAATTTAGTGTTTAGTTAATTTTGGTGTTAAGGGAAAAACAAATAACAAAAAGGAATAAGTTGGTGGAATACATGGTTAATGTACAAATTGTATTACGTAACAATATTTTAGGAGTCTTATGTGCAATTTGCAAAGAAAAAAGAATAAACGGGACAGTTACTGTCAGACAAATATAATTATATTACTCAAAACAATATGTTTAGTCAAATTTCTTACTGTAAAAAATGAAATTTTGGACAGCAAGAAAGATTTCCTCATTTTCTGTTACATTAAGGTCAGGGTCACCCCAAAGTAAATGTTCAACACTTAAATCATCCATTTAGGGATGTGTATGTGACAAAGGTAAACTGAAAACGATGCATTTCGGTGTCTACTGTACTGATGTGTACAAGTTAATGAGGTTGTATATGTTTAAATATCAATCATCAATTAAGAAACAACCAATTTACTTTTTTTTCTCAATATCTTCCAGGGTAAACTGAAATATAAGGAGACAATTACAAATGGATTTGAGCACATGCCGGAAGCCTTCCTCGGACTGTTTTCAGGTGAAAACACAGGAAAAGCAGTGGTGAAGGCGTGAATAAGAATTCCATATTGTACATATAAATCTTTGATAAGAATGACAATTCTATAAAATTTTATATAGAAATGCACATCCTCGTCTTGATCTCAATAAAGAGTTCTGAGTCATAGTTATGTAGACGTCTAAGAGAAGAGAAACTATAACTCTTTTTCTTTATACGCACCTATGTTAGGTCATTATACATTGTATTTACTGGGAGAGTCTTGCATTATCCTTTCAATGGTCTTGTCAAACTAGCTTTAAAAGTTTCACGAATGTGGTCGATGTGAAAACTTTGTCTTTTCTAAATATTATGCCACAAAATAATGAACTAAGGGTGTATTATGATACATTGTTATAATAAAGAAAACCGATGTGGTGTTGGGCCAACATCAGCAAACAAATATCACTTGTTCATTGTTTTTTTAGAGTTGATATCTGATGGGAAATATGGGGATGTTCTGTCCTACCAAAGACTTAAGATTAACAGGATCTTCCCGTAACTTTAGGATAGGACAGAGAACTATATATCCGCGGAGGACATTCATGACAAAACCATTAATATTCAAGGAGATGTATTGCTTAAAATGGATAGTCCTTAAAAGTAGATTGAAAATATATCATTAAGCCCTCGTAAATGGTACAAATTCTACTTTCTTACCAATGGGATTTACAAAAATGCACAAGGCTTCAAAAGGGCCTTAATTATTGTTCAAATGGGTATCAGGCAAAATTGGTTGTACGTAAAATATATCTTCAATTTTCTATTCAGATAGTCTGGTGATTTCTTTATTCATTTATCGAATGTCCATCATATATACCCAACAGAATAAGATATCAAGAACTACCTTAGCCACTGCATCAACCTTTTCCCACAATGAAAACCACATGGGACAATTTGTCTACCAACCTGTAAAATAAGGGAGATGATTTTTATTTCAATTTTGTGGATGTTCCATTTCTAGATCGCTAGCCATGCTTCCCCAACCTATTGTGTTTACCCGTTTCATTTAAATAAAGGATATGCAGGATTAAATAGCTGTATGATGCCGTTCAAATCAGCGCTACTCTATCTAATTCTGTATTGAAAAGTGTGTTTGTATCGTTTTAGGCTATATCAACAGATAGATGAAATGCAATTTACTTAATTAAATAAGACAGAAGTAATTGTGTTTATACCTAAGCAAAGCAAATTTCAAAACTGTCAGCTCACAATTGGCTGCAGTGCAATTACACCCGCACCAGTTGTGAAAAACCTTGAGTATGTTCTTTGACTGCTCTTTGACAATGGAAAACAAGACTGAAAACGCATCTCTTCAAATATGCATTTGATGTGTAAGTAGTGTTTTAACGATGTTTTAATTAGTTTGCGCTCGTATTTGACTCTTCCGAAATCTACCCAATATTTATTTGTATTTTGTATATTTTTATAGTAGAGATAAGTCTTTAAAACATGGCTTATAAAGCACTTTAGAGCTGACATTTTTAACAGTATAGAGCGCTATATAAATATTGCATATTATTATATTTAAGTACTTGTTATTTATATAACTTCTGTAGATTTATATGCAGTAGATTTCCAGTATTGGTGGGTGTATGTAATGTTCATGGTCAGTGACATTCTTGTTATCTAAAGTTACAAAGACATCAATATATCTAAAAGCGAAATTGAAGGACTTAGCAAGGTGTCTGAGACCTTAATAGATAAGCTCTTCCATAAATTCAGTCTTAAATGAAAACAAGTCGGCAAAAGGAGCACTGTTAGTGACCATTAAAATGTAGGTATGTCAATAGTCGGTTGGAAGACCTTATTACCAAACCCTGAAAATATTTTCAAAAAGGATTTGAATTTGGTTTACATGATGGAGTGTTGATGAAGTACAAGATGCTTATCCTTCTGGAACACATGTTCTTGTTCTCCTTGTACTTTTTTTAACTGTTTGCCATGTTATGAAATGGCTGTCAATGACTTTTTGATTACGCCGAATAAAAACGATACTGTGAAGACAAACTTTAACATCTCCACAATGATTTAGCACAATAATATAAGTGGGACTGCAGAAGTTTAAAATGTTCATTCTTCCAGAACACCTGCTCTTATTGTTTTTGTACTTTTCTCCGTGTTAAAGTATTTCCCTTGTTCAATCGAGTTTGAGATTGGACTAGGATTTTTGCAAAGTTGTTTTTTAATCACCATACCAAGTATTGCTAAGACTCCATATACCTTGTACTGGAGACTGTTGTGCCAAGTTTTGCTGGATTCTTCATAGCAAGCATCAAAGATTATTTTATGACTTTGCATAGATGTTATTGTTCCATTTACACAGACTGTTGTTTAAATCATCATATAGAGTGTTGTTTGACTCAGCATAGAATTTTATTAAACTTGCCATTTACACAAAGAGTCAAGTTTGACAGTATATTGTGGCTTCATGATTTGTTTGACTGAACACACAGAATATTGTTTGACTCATCACACGAGAATTATTAGACTCATCATATACATAAAGAGTATGGTCAGTCATCATATTGCTGGACTCTTGATACTGAATATTGTATGACTCATCAAAGAGAGTAATGTTAGACCCATCAACAACTGTACTGTTCTTGCTGAATTACAAATTGGAAGAAACATCAAGTCAGTTTTTTTTTTATATTTATTCACACTTCAAATATACATGTATGTTTTTCTCCCAATTCTGACACAGATGAATAGATCCTACAGTATACATCAGAGTCAAAGTGTCTGATTGAGTCAGTATAAAGCAAAACTATCTTAATCTCTGTATCAGTTTCCAACTGAATCTGAAAATGCTGAATCACTCTTATGCTCAATCAAACGAGTAGTTTGTGATCTTCTTTCCAGATTTGTCATAAGGTTGTTGTTTCGGCATCTGTAAACAAAAAAGCATATAGATAAAACTTACCAAACAGTTTTCAGAAACCAAAAATGTAAAAATTGTTTATGAAAAAATGATGAATGACACACAACTATCATGATAAAATTCCCCTCCCAAAAGGTCACTCATGTCCAATATTTCTGGTTTTTATCTCGGATTACTAAAGACAGGTCATTCTGTTTCTGTTAACTGAAGCCAGGTCATTCTGTCTCTGTTTACTGAAGACCGATCATTGTCCTTGGTTACTGAAGACTGGTCACTATCTCCCTGATAACTGAAGACAGGTAATTTTGTCTCTGTTTACTGAAGACCGATCATTGTCCTTGGTTACTGAAGACTGGTCACTATCTCCCTGATAACTGAAGACAGGTAATTTTGTCTCTGAATATTAAGACAGGTCATTTTTTCCTGATTACTGAATGAAGACTGTTTGAGAATCATGGTTTTGAAGAAAAAATATTCAGAACAGAATGTGTCTGAAACATGTATATGAATCTTGTGATATAACTGAACACAGTACATGAAATACCATAAATTAATAAATTAAAAATATAAGTGATATTTCATTTACTTACCGCTGGCATTGCTGTATGAGGTATAAATAACTCAGATAGGACTATAATTGTTAGGAGAATAGAAACGGTAAGGAATTTTTGTGCCCTGAAACATAAACCAAGCAATTGTATTAATATATTTTTGTGATATCATTGAAATACTTGTTGTGGTTGAAATATTGTCAATGATTCATTGTAAACCAGGTCAGTTTAGCTATATCTGGGGTAAATATCAATTTTCATAATTTTTCACTTCAAGTTTGAAAAATTCATTAAGGATGATTAACCAAGAAACAAACCCATTGGTGGATGTTGACATCCAATACTTACCAGGTAGCGCGAAAGCCATCTAGATAACTGCCTACATGGTATCTGGACTCTTTATCCCTATCAGCATGATAGTAAGGCTGAAATATAAAATTTCTGTATAGTGAGCTTTTATGGATTACATTCTGAAATACTTACAAAATATAGATGTATTTTTATATATAATACTAATATCATTAGTGAGCTTTTATGGATTACATTCTGAAATACTTACAAAATATAGATGTACTTTTATATATAATACTAATATCATACCCTAAACAAATGACCCACAAGTCTTAACACATCTGACTTTTTCAGATCTAAGCATTGCAAAAGTAGCAATAGTGGGAAAAGTATAAGGTGAAATGTTGGTATGACATGAATGCCCCCAACATCCCCCTTATGTGTATTACAGGAGGGTCAAGGATTTCAAACAGACTTGAAGGCCAATTATTGATCGCAGAATGGCAAAATTATTGATGATATTACCAAATTACTATCTTTGAACATAACAGAAAGAAGACAAAAAAAACTGAGGTACAAAATGTCAGAAGGATGAAGCAATACTTATGAAAGATTACCTCTGAACATAAAGTAGGTGGTCTGGAAAACTGCCATTTTACAAAATTCTAAGTGCAAAGGGCAATAACTCCCTCTACAAATGTATTTTATGACTAGAATTTGAAATCAATCTGAAAAATCTGTAGGTCAAAGCAACACACTAAATTTGAATTCATTTTTTTATCAGAATCTGTAACCTGGTAGTGTGAAGGGAAACACCAGATTTACAATAATTATCTCCAAACATAGCAAAAGAACTTCAGAAACTCTTTTCACAAATACCGACAACGTATGCCCCTAAACTCCTCCTGGTTGGCTCAATGTGACCTAACAATTTCAAATTTCAGCTGTATAAGTACAGTTTGTTCTTATACCATGTTGCAACAATTAGAAAAAAAATGCTTCTTTTGACTGGAGGTTCTGATCATTTCCATAAAGTTTAAGCTCAATGCCATGAAAAGAACACAGAAGTATACAATGGTTTTTCAACCTGGTGATGATGGAGGGCATTTTGGGTATCTGAGGAACCTGAAAATGAACGATTAGGGCCATCTAAGGATCATAATAGGCAAAGTTTAACTAAATGCAACTGGTGAAACTTGAAAAGAAGTTTGAAATGTGTGTTTTTCTGGATTAAATCCTGATTGTGCAATCATATTACTAAATGGTGATATAGTGGGCAGAATGACTTTTTGAACAAAGCTGAAAAATTACAATACAGTAATGACAACCTTTCATTAATTAACATTTCCACAAAGTTTCAGTTCAATGGCATAACTGGAAGTGGAGAAGTTTAAAATGAGTTTTTCAGATATTTGCCATTTAAGGGAATTCAGAATGAACGAAAAACTTACAAAACACTAAAAAAAATACCAAAACTGAGGATTCCTGATAAATATGAACTGAATAACACGTGAGAAACCTGAGGAGAAAATTAAAATATAAATTGCTCTATTAGGGAAACCATGATTGTGCAAGCACACTACAAAATGGAAGAATTAAGCTTTAGCTGCCATGTACATGTCAAACTTCTGACCAGGCCCCCATCCCCAACCCAGCCATATTATTTTCCTATAGAGAAATTTGAGAATAGCCCATTCATGATCAGTACTTTGCTATTATCACCAAGGATTGTAGATCATGGGAGATGAGATAGAGGGTCAACTGTTCAAGTGTCCCTATGATCTATAATTTAGAAATTGTCTCCGTAGCCTAATATATAAATATCTTGTCCTTTCTAAGTCCGACCAATGTTAATCAGCCACACCTACACTAAATGCTTGCATGAGAGAAACTGATGCTTCTAACTTATGATTATTTGGTACAGTATGCATTTTGAAGTCTGCTGAATCTCCTAAAAATATTTATTTGGACCAGTCTTAATTTTTGACATATTGTCCACACCTCTGTGTCAGCCTTCATATCTGCCTCCTCTTTCATGACATTCCATAGCAGCATTCTTATCCTAATGTAAAACAAGTAGTACTTACACCTGGTTCATTATAATTCAATCTTGCTTCTGGATAATCCCATAATGCAGAAGCATCTCTGTCCCAAGCAGGTACTTCTGATAAGTCAGGGTATTCACCACTGCCTTTCAAAGGTTTGTAATCCTCTTTCAAAAGACCATATTTTCTAGCAGTAATTTCCTTTTCTTTATCCGTCACAGGAGCACTGGAGCTTGGTTTCCAAATATAGTTCCAAGGACTGAGATCTGAATCAATAGTAAAACTTACTTCTTAAGTACATGATTTTCTGGTAATTTACAGGTAAACTGACAAATAAACGACCAAAAAAAATCACAGACAGATAGTTAGAGCCCCCTTGACTAATGCAAACAATATGTACTAATACTTATTAACAAATATAAACAAGAAGCCCAAGGACCTCAATGGTCACCTGAGTCACAACACTTCTTATAACAAAATTCAACTAAACACTTCTTGAGTAAAGTGAAGGAATTTGTTTTGTTCTATAAGACAATATTTGAATTTCACACCTGCCTGATTTCAGTAAAAATGTTGATAATTAATCCAGAGTTTCCTACAAAAATATATTAACTGAAAAATATCTGTATAATCAACCAACATTTGTTGTACGGCATTGTAGCTTGATAAAGTTTGTCATTTTTTCATGATAATGGGTCATCTGTATATGTATATACATTAATATATATGAGCAATTGGCTATTCTTAAGTACATGCACATACATGTGTATAATATTAATCAAAATTTCTTCTTTTTCTGGCAGGTCCTTGTACATCAGCTTAATCCAAAATTGTCGAAAGTATTAAAAATAGTTATCTAATTCATCAGGGACCTATCACATATATAATATACACTTCTGATTAGTAATTGCAACCATAATTTTTTAAACATCTGTTTTGGAAAAGAAAGTGTTTCACACCTAACATTAAATTTGGAGACAAGAAAACAATCAAACTGAGAATAAACCTGGCCATTGGAAAAATCATGATCACATATCTTTTAATGATAAGATTTTGCATACTTTCTTATTAAATACACATAACATTTTGAATATCCTCCCAAATACCACAATTCAACTCATAAAACCATCCTCCTAGGCTAACCAAGTTCACTTTGATAGGTAGCATCTCTACAAATCCATGTACATTCACAGCTCTGAAACTGATAACAATGTTTTTGCTTATTATAGGCAAGTCTATGTACCCGTTTACATATGTCAATGGCATTTGAAAAAAAAATGAAAAAAAACCCGGATGTTTAATAAATTCTGCAAACTACCCCTATCAGATGATAGAAATAGCTATGTTACCAACTAACTTGTGATTTGATGCCTTAATCATGCAATACTTTTGCAATGTGAATTTAGTATGCATAAGCCCAGTATAATCATCTAAACATTTCAATCTATGACACTTTTTGACCATACAGCATAAAAAATATGAAAACCATACAAAAAAATCTTCCTTTCCTACACCCTTACTCCAAATTTAAAACAAACTTATAATCAAGATTATGATCATTATCTCAAAATCTAAAAAAAATCAATAATCTATGGAATATGTGTCTCTATTATCCATGATGGCCAACATCTCTTAAGTAATGTTAAATAGGTATAATTCTTCTGCAGAAATATTTCCAGGAGTATTCCAATGTATTGTATCAAAGCTAAAACTTTGCTGATATTGATATGTACTACAATTTGGCTTTATGTGGGATTTGATCTTTAAATTTTCTCTCCTTTCTAAACAATAATTTTTTCTATTTCATTTCCTTTAACACTGTCTTTAAAGATCTGACACTTCTGGCATTTAATGGAATGTGACTACTCACTAATTAAAACTCAGCATCTAAGCAATAAAACGACTGGTTTGTTTGCATTTGTCAGAATAATATGACCAGGTAGAGTACCGGTGTTTGCTGGATGTCTTCTGCAGTATACATTATGTATATTTACCAACATCATCTGTCAACATCCTCATCGGTACGAGGGTACATGTAATTAATGACAAGGCTGGTACCTGTGCTATCACAAGGAGACTTACACGAACATATATACACGGCCTCCAAACACCCCACATTCACCTTTCATACATAAGAAAGCAGTTCTAAAATGACATTGATGTTGATAGGACGTGAAACCGGTTGGGCACAACCCAGTACTATACGGGTAATAGCCCTTCATTTGAGGGATAGTTACTGCTTTGAGTTATCAATTTAGTTCCGCAAATGCAGAACTATCTACAACAAAAATGTGTTATCCCTGTAATAAATAACCAATGTTGAAGCTCCAGGTCATGACGATACTGTCAAGGACTGACTGGCTTCAAATCCCCTACATTTCCAGTCGTAAATAATACTTCATTAACTAAAACATGAATTTACCACTAGCACCAGCAACGGCTGTCGTATGGATCCCTCTCTGGTGTGTTACTTGTGTTAATATCTTACTGGCCCTCGAGAAACCCCGAACAGCGGCCATTTTGCAACAAGGGCATTGAAGAGTCTATCTATGGGAGGTAACTCTAAATTATGTGAACGGGAGACACCTTGCTGTCAAAAACGCACAGCTATAATGATAATAGGATCTAAGCATTTTGCTTTGTCAATTAAAGAATACTGGAATTCAAGATTTTATCTGCTTCAGAATTGGGTAAATATACATTTTGCACGATTTATATTCCGGAAAACAGTAAAAGACAATAACTCATCAGATGATGTACATGTTTTGTCAAGGATGGACGATGGACCATACATAACATCAGCCACAGTACCAGAAGTAGTGCATCATATAGGCTTACAAATAAGCTTTACTCTACTTCTCTATAAAGGACCATTGATTAGTCAATTTGTTTATTAATTTCTAACGTTTCGTATCATTACAGACATGCAATATGGAGAATACAAATAGCGAGTAACCGCGTACATTATGTAACACTAACCATGAACAAATGAAAAGTATATCTAGGCTATTGACGGTAAGGAATAAGTGGAAAATGTACCTATGACTATATATCTGTATATTGCTTGATTGCCAACATCATTAATAGACAATAATTGTAATGACTTCAGTAGCAATGTATATATGTAAAAAACAACAAAGAACTGGAATGAGTAAGGAATGGCAACTGCCTGACAAAAAGGAATTTAGTTCTCACTAGTTTGAGACTCATAAAGTGTCCTGTACGCTCAGATTGGCCTCAAAGACGATAAATTACAGGTCAGGTTCTTCGTATGTATATATAAATGACTTATTCCCTTAAAGTGGTCAAGCACACAAAATATATAATAGTAAGGAGTAATGAAAACATGTTCTACTCATCTTGAACACTCTCTAGTTGAACACTCTATCACTTGACTAAAGGGAAATTTCCAGTTGACGAGGCAAGAAAGGTGCTCTGCCTTTTGTGAGGTTTGTACTAGCAACCTTTCCTGAACACTCTCTAGTCGAACACTCTATCACTTGACTTAAGGGAAATGCCAACTAATTAGGAAAAGAAAAATTTGAAAAAAAAAAAAAAAAATGGAAAGAGGAAAAGAAAGAAGGAAAAAGATGGAGCAAGCAGATATAAAGTAGTCTTCAAAATAATGACTATATGAAGTCTTCATAATTGGAAATTAAATGTCATTTATATTATTTATTTATTCAATGTAAATTAAGATCTATAGATAATACATATAAATTGTGCTTGATAATGAATATGTTGTTTGATTGGTTGAATAACATGTCCTAGGATGGCAGATCCAGAACTAAATTCCATCATATCTGACTGAGCTTGATTTGTTTATCAGAAAGTACAATCAAATCAAGTAGCTCTTCTCTGCACTTGAGCTTGATGAATTTGGTTTGGATTCCTAACAATGGACTGTATTTCAGTCTTTGTTCTACTACACCGATACTTAATATGCATGATTTTAATGCTATCTGGAAAGTTGATTATTTCACCTATGCCAAATAGTCAAGTGGTGCATTGTCCATCATCCATCCATCAGCTTTTCTGTAAGGCACTTTCGTCTGAAAACAAGAATTAGTATGGGATCACAATATTTTGCTTGTAGGTTCCTGGAATGAAGAACAATTGCAAACAGAAATGACCTAGTTTGACTCAATTTCATGGGTAATGCAAAGTTACATGGATCAAGTTGGAGAGCTGGAGTTGAAAGTTGTAAAAGTTGTCGCTAAAATGTAGTAGGTGCATGTTTTTTAATGTCTGTTCCAGGAATGAAAAACTTTAAAATCATGTTAATTGAAATAGTCCAGAACCAGAAAAGGATTTAGTCTTATGAATTATGGGTTTAGCTTGGAATGCATTGTGAAAAGCATGCATTGAATACCAGGTTAGGGGTGCTTGGTTTTAGACTGAAAATGTTTAAGCCTTTAAGGATGTATCATAAAATACACAGCTAGCCAACTTTTGCAGGAAATGGTACATATAGTCACTCTAAGAGATCTAAGGATGTTGATTACAAGATGCCTGCAGATAAACATTGAATAAAATTTTCAGATGCACATCATGGAGTATGCAATGCATGATGATGGCCACCTTGTCTACAGCTGAAAGCATTTATTCCATACTTTGTGGTGCAGCCTCTAAGTAGCCAATACAAAATACCAGATTAGAATGCAATGAATGAAATTTGAAAGATTTACTTTTTCAAATGTGATTTTGAAAATGTTTATGGCAGTATATCATATTTGCTAGTATCTTTATTTTACAGGAATGGTTGTTGATGAACCAAACTAGAATCAGTTTCCACTTGTTGTGATCTAACAGGACCATGTTCAGTTCAGATCTTGCCTACGCTTCTCAGTTTGATGAAGATAACTGGGGAAGTCCTCCCAGTTACCTTTCACAAAATACTAAAATCATTCAGCATCCATGGAAACTGTCCACTGACACAGAATCTCTTCATGTAGATTTTATACTCATCGCAGAATTCTCAGAACTTGAGGGACCCAAACCTGTGGTAAGTCGATTGGTTAAGTTAGCCATTCAAAATTTTAAAAGTTCTCATTATGTGAACTTTTATGAATATGCCTTGTTTGCATGTATAGTGCACATCCTGTTTCCAAAAACCAAAAATGTCCTAAAAAAATCATTATAAATGCATATTTATGGTAGCATTACTTAAAAATGAAATTATAAAATGAAGTTAACTTATCGTTATTCTTGCTTTTCAATCTGTAAACAGTTCTTGGATGGTTGAGTTCTTGAAACTTTATATTACTTTTGTTTAACTTATAGATAACCATTCCTAAAGATGGTGCTGGATTTTTTGATGTCAGTGAATTTGCTGTACGAATCATGTCAGTGGACCAGGCAACAGCAGCATCTGGGTATGAAGTTACTGTTAGATTGACCATAAAATATATTTTCACAAATTTCTTTTTTGGAAAAACTTTCATGTAAAGTTCCAGACTTGCTACAGTCTCTTAAGAAAGTAAACAGAAAAATCATTTTCTTTTCATTGAAATAATTTGAAAATGGCTCATACATATCCTAACAAATTTGATAGATTTTATGAAATTGAATAAGGATGATAGATATTGTGGCTAGACAGTGGTGTTATTTAGTCACGTGAATTCTACCTTTATAATATTTTTCAAGTGACAATTTTCATAGTGAATTCTTTTTTGTCATCTTTGACTTTTGAATTCCTTTATGAAAACTGAAGATTTCAGTACTCCTTATGAGCAATACAAATAGTGACAAAAGTCTTGTGTTTATTTGGCATTTACATCAAATGAACCATAGATACCAATTTTTTCACTATCAACTATGAAAACTTTCATTTCTTCAAGCATCTGGCCAGTTTCAAATTTGATACTTTGTTATATTTTCTCTTTAAGGAAACCATTTTGAATAGTTATCTGATTTGTTTGTTTTTATTCCAGTGGATTTCACATGACAGAAGATTCCCAAGTCATTCTGTCTGAAAACAGTAAATGTGTTTATGCCTTTGTGAGTATACAGCAGTAATTCTCTCTCAGACCAGTTCTGTTAAATGCTATATAATTACAGTTATTCTTCACAAAAACTGCACAATAACCTTTTAATTAACATGATATATAATTACAGCTACTTTCTAAAATTCACTTAGTATGTGATTGTAATGAATATGTTTATCGTTTGTTGTATGCAGGTTCACCATTTTGTCCTGTTTGACAAGCAAGCTCGAGGATATGTTCGGCCATTTGCTGTTAGCTATGTCACCAATGACCAAAGGTTTGCCAAAATTCTTCCTGCCAATATTTGATGAAATGATAATGACAATGACCTTCAGAATGCATTCATATAACTTTCAACTCACTCATGTATGTTTTTGGAATGAATAGAATTTTTTTTAGAGATCTTTAGAGATTTCTGTCACTGATTTGAATGGGAGGTAACTATTTGTGATAGAATGGAATACTTACATATACACGTATGGACAACAAAATATTTTTTGACTCAACAGTATCTAAATCATCTGTGTTTAATATACTGAGATTAAGATGAGAAAAAGTCAGGACTGAACAAAACATTGAACTTATCTGATGCATTAGATTCAAGCATGTTTGACACAAGTGAGTTTTACAGTAAGTTTATGTATACTGTACTGTGCCCTGTTTTGTGCTTCATGACAGGGACAAAAATACACATAGTAGTTTTGATTCTGTCGTTTAATTTTGGGGTTGGGATGAAAGTTTATTGAACCATTTGTGTTTAATATATATATGATTTTTATTTCCAGAAAATTAGTGTGTTTTTATGAAGAACTAAGCTCACATCTTAAAAAGGTGAGAATATTTTTTCAAAGCTTGTGTGTTTAATCTCAGAGATGGTTCATGGTTACACATAAAAGTATAGCTATTTAAACAGTATTCCAATTGTTATCTTAAAAACAAAACAAAAAAATCAAAGTGCAATGTAGTTATAATCAAACTTAATAGAGCATGATTCATAATTGGGAAACCATGTCCAAAGTTCTGCCCCAGGCACTGTAAAATGGTGAGGAGAGAATTCTGGAAACCCTACATTATTATAATATTTCCTGAAAAGATGTGTATTTTGGTGTCTGTATTGTCTTGGTTTTTCAGGTTGCAAGATATTTTAAGTATGGTAACAGGATGGTGTTTAAGAATGATGTGGACAGGTATTTGATGGACCTTGAGTATACTAAAGGTAGGTACTTGATTGAATAATCTTTAAAAACCTGGAAAAGGTAGGTTTTAAGAGTGTTAAATGGTACACTGTGAAACTGCTCAAGGGGCAAGTGAGCTCATGCTATGGTGCGGAATCCAGCATCTGCCGTTTACTTTTCCTTTAATCAACTTCTTCTTAAGAACCAGTACATGGATTTTTACATTCTCAATGCTCCAGGGGTTACGATCACTTAGCTCTCTGCACCCCTGGAACATGTCATGGCGAAATTGAAGGTTTCAAACAAAGTAATCTTGGTTCCAGGAGAAAAAACTGATTAATCACAGGCTGATATGCTCCTTTTGAAGAATACAAAGGGGTGGCACTTGACTTCAAAGCCATTACAACATACCGTTATGCAACCTCGAGATTCATTTGATGTACATGTAGGAATTGTTTCCCCTAATTTGGTTCTCTTTACACTGTGCTAGCATTAATCAATTTCAATTGTATAAGATGTATGTTATATAATTAATTAGAACATACAAGTACTTATCACTGAGAGTGGTATTTGCTTTAAGTATTTATGACACATACTTAAAGTATCTATGTAGCACAAACTGCTCTTTCTTACCTTATTTTAGATATATTAATTGTAATTTTATTTTACCCACATTCTGTATCTACCCACAAAAATCTATTGATGCACAAATTAACCTGCATGTAATTGAAAATATTCAAGGGACATAACTCTTGAATCAATTTTTTGTTTATTCATTTTTGTTTTATTATTTTTTTAAGCTCACCTGGTAAGATTTAGTTTACATCTGTATCATTGAAATGATATATAACAGGTTTTACCTTCTAAATGAGACCTATGAATCTAAATTGTTTAAGAGTTGAATGTTTATTTCAAGCAGCTCCAAACTACTTTGTTGCTTTCCTTTAAATCAAAACTATTTATCTACAGCACAAGAACTGCCTCACTATCGTACAGTGATGAATAATACCCAAGCCTCCTCAGGAGTTAGTGAGAAGGAACTTCTACAGAATCTTAAAACTCTGGAGTCTGTGATCACTGAAGTTAAATCCATCCTCAACACTATCTGTGCTTCTATGGTAAATACACCTGTAACAGAACTAAGGATGATGAATAAAATAACAGAACAGCTTGACATTGGTAACACATCAAAAGTCCGTTGATCTTTCACCTTGACTTTGAATTTGGTATGTCACAAGCATTTTTATTTTGTCTGTAAAAGAAGATTTGAGAAGAAGTATATGCCCCTTCTTTTCATAGTGATGCATATCTCAAATATGTAGATGTTATTTTGTCTATCCAATGCTTGATTTCTCTGACTAGAGAAGCTATGCGAATGTAAAGATGATAACTGACACATGTTTTCTTAGAATTACTGTTTTCTCTATTAGATATTCATAATTCTACAGTCAAAAGATAAGATGATGAAAGCAAAGTTTTTCAATTTTTTTCTCTAAATATTTAGACTGATAAAAGACTGGAACAGAGATTTTCACGTCTAGAGGGGAACTTTAAGGTGAAGACTGATCAACAGAAACAGAGGTCTGAACTAGCCAACAGTCTGAGAGACATGGAGGGTCCAGATGTTCTCCTAACACAATTCTGTATGTCCAGGTTTCTTTAATGGGAGATAGATATTGTCTATAGAATTTCCTTCTGTCCTTGGTCAGTCCATCTATTAAGAATTTATTTTTGTTGTTTCCTAAGTTTAGAAAGTGATGGACTGATCTTTCTAAAATTTCATTTCACATGTTTCTTTTTGAATTAATTTTTCAGTATTACTTCTAGATATGGAGGACACAATTATTACCTGGTAGCTGTTTTGGACTGCATGGTCGGATCTATATTTCCAAAAATCCTGAATTAGATATTTCTTAAATTCTACAGAGGTTTGCCTTGTGTTCAAGTAGTACATCATTACTTTTATTTTAATATGTACCTTTTCACTGTATATATCTAAACCAAACCACTGTACAAGTTTAGAACAAACTTCAGTACCACAGCATGATAGTAGTCTATTGATGCATTGTACTTCTAGTACTTATATATATACAAAAACGATTGAACAAAACAGCTGATATTCCAATGTTTTGTTGTAGCTGGTCTTTATGGCGCAGGCAAGGAAAATGAAAGTCTCATGTTCTTCAACATTAATAACTATAAGGTAAGTTTGTAATAAATGAAAGTAAATACAGGTAGTTTGGTAGAATATCCAGTGTAAAAATATAGATTTCTGTGTTCATTATCCCACCTGAGTTGAAGACTCATTAAGTTTATGACATGGAACTTCATGAGCCAAAAGTCATTCATCATCCATTGTGTTTTATATATTTTTTTCTTTCATTTTATTTGTTTTGGGTGAATAATATAACTTTAGATTGATATATTTTTGTAGGAGAGCTTTAGAGGTTAAGTTCATGTTCTGGTGAAGTGTAGCATGATATATGTTGAACTGCAGTTTTCCTACAACTCTGTCAACAGCTGAAATGAAAGATTGTATTTATCAGACATTTTGACAATAAGTCTTTAAGGTGATGGTGTATTAGCATAGTGTTACCGGGTAGTATTTAAGCAGTATGTGTTTGTGTGACCTCTAGAAGCTGTATCTATTTTGCAGCTAGGAATCTCTTTAGATTTGAATACTGACTACGCAATTTTGGGTAGACAAGACATTTTGTGAATCTTTAATTAACTGCCTCTAGACTACTGTTATAGACCACACAAGTCAATTGGAGAGAGAAATTTTTTATCCTTTTTTCCTATGTCTGTATGTGGTGTAGGTCTGTGACAGGCTCATGTTACTGTAAAAATGGTCTGATGTTTTATAGCCGAAGCGAATTCAAATAGCTGGATCTCGGAAGTTTGACCTTCATCTCAGAGGATTACATGAACTCTGCTCTTGGGGCTTCAAGGAGGGATTTCAAAAGCTGAAAGAGATGCATAAGGTTGGTTTATGTAATTTTTTTTGAGTTGTACAAAGATGTGAAATAGGAGATGCCTGGAAGTATATACAAATGCTGCTGCAGAACAGGTGACTTAAAAAAGAACATCTTTAATATACTAAACACAGTGACCTAGGACTTCATGCCAACATGATGTGTAGAACGTAACATGAGAAAAGTTTCTCAATTTCCTGTCAGTCGTTTTTAGGGAATCATCACACCATGCAGATCTTTACATTTTCCCGAGACATCAATTATGTTTGTTTTTTTTTTTGAAAAATAAGGATATACTATTATATAACTGACAGTTATTGCCTGTTCCTGGTAGAAACAAAAATGGTAGACACACCATGAGGGATAACACTGTTTTACATTCAACAAGTGTGCTGATTCATGAGGCAGTTATGCCCAATATGTACAATGTACTAACTGATGTTGTTTTCAGCAACTTTGTAATTGATATAGGTTCCACAGACAATATAAAGTGAATCAGTTACCATCATGTGATGAATTATGTAAAGTTCCTTTAATTGAAAAGACGTTCTTATATCACAGTGAGTTAGAGAAATCATATGTGTTGTTACATGACTACACTGTCATTTTCATCTGGCAAATGACCAGTTTGAAGTGTATTTGCTCTAAGGTACTGTATACGGTGTATGATAAGAAAAAAGTGCTTTCGGCAGATAATATTATGTACTCAAAGGTGGAAAGCAGTGATGAAATGAAAATGAGTTTATGCTGAACACAGGTCAGATAGATGATCTTTTATACATACATTAGGTGGTAGCTATGTACTGGCCTGTGAAAGTTGATTCATCTATGCTTTGTTTAAAATCTTAACATATATTTGTGTGAGTCCATGGGCCCCCTCATCCCAGTTCCGAGCAATCCATAGACTTTGATATAAAATCAGAGAAAATATAATGTAGGTGGCAGCAGAATGTTTGAACAATTAGAAAACAAACAAGATGAGAAGCCAAGGTAAATTATTTTTTAGTGATGACTCTTTGTGCAATTCCCAAAAGTTCGCACTGTTTGGCATGCTGAATACTTACTGTGATTTATATGCATGTTTATACTTGACAGCATTTCCAACAGGATCTGTGTGTACTGGAGGTGGAGCGAGAGGAGGCCAACAGTCTAGGTATTGAACCATTTCGCTTAAATACCAAGATTCACAATTTGACCTAGACAACGCTAGCTTTTTAAATTTGAAATATGTAATCTGGATAGATTTTTAATTGTGCTGTGTATACTGTAATTATACAAGAAGTACTCTTAAACTTATTGTTGATGAACTATATAACAAAATATCTGTCATATCGTTGTTTAAGTTAGACTGTCTGATATATGAAAACAAGGTCATGCTGCATTCATTGTAATTAATTTATGTAACAGGTAACATTGAGTCAAATTACAAGTTAGTTTTTTCAACAAAATGCTTGAACAGTTGGCAAAATATCTAATGTGGAAAGTATGGTTTGTTTGTAGATCCTCTCTCTGGTGTGTTGATGTTTGGTACTAACTTCGTGGCCTGTAACTTCATGAGTGATGTTGACAAGTAGGTGTTGGTCTGTTTGTATAATGAGGAGATGGATATACTCATTTTTCAATCTCTTCTTGTACCATGATTACTTTTTAACAGTGAGTTTACTTTCTTCTCTTCATACAAATGTTTCCATCCCTTTCTAGTCATTCACCATCAGATGGTATGTTGTTCAAATTGCTGTTTGCTTCTGTCTTGTCATCTATCTGTCCATCAGCCATTGTTTAACCCTTGGGAAATAACCACCTTTATAGTATGAAGGTTCCTTTAATATGTTATTTTTATGCCCCAGCCATTTATGGCCGGGAGCATATAGCGTTGCCCATGTCCGTCCGTCCCGTCCCGTCGCGTCCCATCCCGTTGCGTTGCGTCGCGTCGCGTCCTGTCCCATCCCGTCCCGTCCCGTCCCGTCCCAAATCAGTATATACCACCTAACAACTTCATTCGGACCTTTCACTATTATTTCACATGGGGGGCGGGGGCATTCATGTCTTACAGACATTTTCTAGTTTCATAATTGAATTTTAAACTGGTTTAAAGACAAAAGTGGTTGCCTGGCAATCCAGAGTTTTACTAGATAACCAGAAGAATTTGACAAGTAAATGTCGGTTACACATCACTGATCAAGTCGGTAGATCAGCTGACAACTTCTCTTTGAATGAACAATTTCTATCATGCTCATACATTTAGTTTTTAAAATTTCTACACACTTTTTATTTGCTTGTGTAATGACTGAAATGACTATCATTTTGGAAGCTAAGATCTTAGAAATATATCACAAATGAAGTTAGTACATCGATGGGAAGCGAGATTCCTCTGAGATCTCTTGTAAAGTCAAGTAAGAGATTCAGGTGATCAATTTTTGTCTTCTACAATCTCTTGATGTTCTGATTCTAGTTTGAAAAATGTGGATATTTTGACAGATCTGATCACAGAACATGTTATCTTTGATCTTGTTTCTGTATAGACTGTGTGTTGGGTCCTGCTGCAGTTTCCAGCGGTCAAGGGTGATACCAAACAGACTGCTGACCAGATGGGCGTCTGTAAGTTTTACTGAAACATTGACATTTATTGAAGGTCTGGGGGATGGTGTTAAGTTTTAGTAGTATATATGATATCAGCAATGATCAGATTATTGTTGATAAACATTTATAGTTTTTTTAAAATTGATCTAGCTAGATTTATATAGGATTTCCACAAATTAAATATTGTATGTTTGTTTATGTAGTGAATTGATGTGTACAATTTCTCTTAAGGATAGAAGTAGATCCATTTGTGATTAAAAAATAACCATGATATGAAATTTGAACTTATGCTGAATATCCCTGTTTACCTCTTGTGGATTGAGCGGAACACCAATCTCGACCTTTATATGTGATTTCTTTCTACAGAATGACACTTTAGAGAGTTATAAGTCGGCAGCAAGTTCCTTCAGGTCCATCCCAGATATGGATGATTCTGAGTCTCTAGTGTCTGTCAGCAGTATAGAAGGGTCATTCTCAAGGTAGGTTACTGGTCTTTGATAAACTTATCTTGAAAGACAATAAATCCTAAGTAGAAAAATTGTCCTCTCTCCTTCCTCCATTTCTTGAAGCTCTTAATAGATGTGAGATTATGCCATTACCTTGTATAATCAATTTGTAAGTAAAATGTCTGTTTTGTAAAGGCGAGGTTTATCTGTATAGTTTCAATTTAGTATCTTTATCAACTGCATTATTGTGTCAAATGTATGTAATCAGATTTCTAACTTTTTTTTAGTTATAGTACCAGAGACTTCAGACGAAACAGTGAGGAAGGATCAGAATCTGTACAGACTTCAGACACAGAGGCTACGTCTTTTTCCTCAGATTTCTCATTCATTTCAAGATTGGATGAATCCTCCTCCTCCCTTGATAAAACTCTTTTAAATGAAAATCAAGAATCATTGTTTAGTAAACTTCATTCTGCAAGTAATCCAAATGTGGGGCAAAATAAGAGTCCAGCCCACGTAAACTCTCTGGCACATGGGAGAAACCTTCCCCACCTAGAGTCTGTGACAGTGTGTCGTGGATGTAAAGTGGATCAGTCTGGATGTCAGGGTCATACATTATGTACATGTTCCTGGAGCAGTGGCGAGACAGTTACACCTTCAGCGGATAGTGAAGGTTTTAAGTTACAAGCTGATAACTCAACAGGAGATGTAAAAACAGACCTGCAAGGTACCCATGGTGAATCAAAGCTAGGAAAATGTGATATAAGAAATGGTTGTCCTAAAGACACTGAAGGATTTGGATGTCAAACAGATTTTGAAAAACTGAACCTTCAACAGCAATCTTTACCGTTGAATTTTAGAGATCTGCCAGGTATGTTGATTAAAATGTTTCCTGTTCACTTATTATTGAAGTTTAAACAATTTTGAATAAAGGAGAATTCCACCTTTTTAAGACAAATGATGCAATTCCATGCAACTTTGAGAGCTTATCTTCACATTTTGTGCCACATTTACTGTAGCAAATTCCCTGCATCAAGCTTTATATTGTCAAAGCAACCGTTCTTGGCTCCATGGAAGTAGAGCAAAATATGAAGATTAGTGTTTTTTTCTGCTCAAAAATACCCTGAATTGCACTGAGCTGACATAAAAGGGAAAGATTTGTGTTTGAAATCCATAAAATGACATTTTTGGTCATCCAAATAATTTGGAAGGTTGTGTAACTCGATGATCAAAATAAAAGTGACTTGTGTTCAAATTATAAACGAACCTACTATATTACTCCACTCCTCCAGTGAACATATTAAAACTCCATCAAAAATTTCAGATAAACCTGTTTTCACTGATCACCAAAGGGGAGCGTGTATCACGTAGATCCTTTTGAATGTCTTACCTGTTTTATACTAACTATTTTATATTGTTTGTAGATTCCACAAGTTCTCAACAATTAGATGAAAGCAATACAGACAGTTCTACTGCTTTGTAAGTTAGTTCATCAACTGAAAGGCCATAACAGTGGACAGAAAACCCTTTGAATAAATAAATAAATTAATGAATTGCAAGTAAACACTCTGTATACATGTTCAGAGATTTATATACAAAATACAGACATTCTTCTGTCTTGCAAGTAAAAGTTCTGAGAGTTTAAATACAAAATTCTGTACCAGGTATTGGGGTCCACCCCTTCCAGTGGTTAAGTTGTAAACTGCTGATCTATATATGGTGTTTATTGGTAGCTTTGATGTCTATCTTCTCCCAATAATGGTTGCTTAGTAACCTTCTATCTATTCCAAATGATTACCATTTGTATTTCAGCTGCTCCTCATCCAAGCTGCTTAGTAGTCTGTCAACTTCCAAAGAAAGTCTAAACTCAGGTAAACACTTTAATCTGTTGCTTATCATTTCATCACCATTACTGGTACCTTAATACTCCTAATCAGAAAGTGAAACTGATAACAAAATCATTGCCTAGTATGTTATCACTGAGATGGTGGAAAAGATGTTATTTATTTTTGGTTTTACTTGTAGTCTAATTTTTGTTGTTTTACACCAAAAAAACTGAAATGAATGTTAGTATGAATGTTAATATCTATAGAAAATTACAAATATGTTATTACAATATTGTTTTGTTTCCAGCGCAGGGTATTTACAAACTGTTGAATAACTACAGCAACATGCATCATGTGATATACAGTCTGTTGTCAGGCCGACCAGTAATTGTCATAGCAACAGCAACATTTGAAAAAGATGTCAAAGAAATAGTACGTGCCCTCCAGCATTTTCTACCCAACAACCCAAGGTAAGGAGGTCAGAACCATGGTTTGTACACTGGTGTCAGTGATCAAACAACCCAAGGTAAGGAGGTCAGAACCATGGTTTGTACACTGGTGTCAGTGATCAAACAACCCAAGGTAAGGAGGTCAGAACCATGGTTTGTACACTGGTGTCAGTGATCAAACAACCCAAGGTAAGGAGGTCAGAACCATGGTTTGTACACTGGTGTCAGTGATCAAACAACCCAAGGTAAGGAGGTCAGAACCATGGTTTGTACACTGGTGTCAGTGATCAAACAACCCAAGGTAAGGAGGTCAGAACCATGGTTTGTACACTGGTGTCAATGATCTAACAACCCAAGGTAAGGAGGTTAGAACCATGGTTTGTACACTGGTGTCAGTGATCAAACAACCCAAGGTAAGGAGGTTAGAACCATGGTTTGTACACTGGTGTCAGTGATCAAACAACCCAAGGTAAGGAGGTTAGAACCATGGTTTGTACACTGGTGTCAGTGATCAAACAACCCAAGGTAAGGAGGTCAGAACCATGGTTTGTACACTGGTGTCAGTGATCAAACAACCCAAGGTAAGGAGGTCAGAACCATGGTTTGTACACTGGTGTCAGTGATCAAACAACCCAAGGTAAGGAGGTCAGAACCATGGTTTGTACACTGGTGTCAGTGATCAAACAACCCAAGGTAAGGAGGTCAGAACCATGGTTTGTACACTGGTGTCAGTGATCAAACAACCCAAGGTAAGGAGGTCAGAACCATGGTTTGTACACTGGTGTCAATGATCAATTCACTCAACAATTAGGTTGTGTGGATCAGCTGATCAACATGTTCCAAACATTAATCTTTTAGGTCTAAATGGTCGTCTGTTGCATGGGGATGACATGCTTTGTGTTATGTGTGGTTGTGGATTTCATCATTTTATTATGTCAAGTTCAAAATTCCAACCAACAGAAATTAATGTTTAAGTATGAAATTTTCTGATAAAAACTAAGAGTGATGTAGCATCAATACTTTACTAAACAGGTGTCCAGGTGGTGCCCATCCTAACAGCTGTCTCACGTGGCTTTCTCACCTGCCCAAAATCACAGACCTTGGAGGAATGAAACTTGTGGGTGTGTGTCGGCCAGAGAAGAAACCAATGGACCGATTGATCACTCCAGCGTTCAAGGTATAACACTTTTATATCACGAAAACTTTTCATACTCAGGATTAAAACAATAAAGAGAGACATCACATGGGAGTAAGTGCTGCTCCTAAGTCCTAAGCTCATTAGTATATTCACAAGAAGATACATTTTTGCAATGTCAACATTCTGATGATGTCTCGTTTACAGTGGCTGTGTGCACTGGCTGACACATCACTGTGTTTGCATGTTGTTCAATCTTTCTATGTATTTTGTGTCATTTATAATGAAAACGTTAGAGCTACTGTGTTAGCCAAATGCGAATGCATGAACAATTGAATACACAGCTTTTACTACTCATGGTGGTTCAACATCTCAAACAACATGGGCCGTCATGGCTTTAGAGGACTTATCTTAGAAGTATGTCGTAGTTTCTGAGATGTATTCAATGATAGTAATAACATCATAGAAATAAAGAAAACATGGGCGTAGTTCTGTAATGTTGAAATGAATAGCACTGATGCTAATTAGTTACTGTTACTATTAATATCACTTGGAATTATTATTGTATAATTCGTATTTGTTCAGCGAAAAATGAGCTCTTACTGGAAATCTGAGTGATTATGATATAAATAAGAACTTATGTACAGCTAGTTACAACTGCTCCCAGATATGGCTAAGTGTTATTTTTGATAATTTACAAAATGTACCAAGGTAAATAAAACTAGGTTGTGTGATATACAGGAAAAGTTTCACTGGTGAGGAGTGTTAACAACTGCTACATTTCTAGATCATGTGACCTGTCGGAAGGAACGCTAACTATATTTTGCAGTGTAGACTGACCTATAACAATCATATCATTGTAAGATATGCAGATCATAATCATTTGACAAGATCATGAGTGAAACCTATATTTCATTGTGATGACATTTTTGACTTTATTTATGTACAGTTGTGGGATCACACAATGTTACACAAATGTGCGATGTATGTATGATATCTGCATGATAGGAAAATTGGATGAAATAAGCTCTCACACTTTGGTGCGGTTTTATCGCATTATTGTGTGATTCTATCAAGGTTGATATATATCAAGAAATGACTTGTAAGTAAGTTTGGGATAAGGTTAATTTATTTTCTAAATATACAAGAGTACAACAAAGTCTGGACTACACGATTTGCCTCTCCTTGAGATGTGAAACTACATACGATAAGACTAATTAATGTAGATTCAGTGTTATCTCAAAACTTGTAGAATTGAAAATGACCTTTATAATAACTGATCAATCTTAATACTCTAATGATCGCTGTTTAGTAATAATTACATGGGTTTTCCATTTCATTTTCAGTTGATGATATTAGCCAACCAACTTTACCAAACTGCACCAAAATATGTGATTCTATTGCACTGTTCTGTGCAGGATACTGTATTGTGCATGTGTGTGCATGATCTGCACATGATGTATGCACTGTGTGATACAACTGTACATGTAGTGCAACATTAATATCCATGACAAAGTAAAATTTTTATATAAAAAGAGATTGAAGATGAAATATGGGACGTTATAATTAGATTTCATACTTAATTGATCTTTCTTCCTTTTAGCGGTTTGTTACCATATTTGATGTAGACAGGAGAGTTCTGCTTTCTCCGACCTATCAGGTGAGACAATTTAACATTATACCTGTACTGTAAAACTAATATACATGATGTAGATATCATCAGTGTATCTTAAATGTAGAATTTCTTTTAACTATTTTGTGAATTTAATATCATTTGCCTTTTGAATTTTAGGTATCAGTTGTTCTTACTTTTTAAATGAATGTGTTGTTTTTAACATACTATCAATAGAAGTTAGGCTGTTCAAATCGCAGTGTCAGTTCGACTGTCCTTAAACAATCCTTTTTTTTATCCCTCGCGAAACGCGTTTGCGGGGGATAAAAAAAAGGATTGTTTAAGGACAGTCGAACTGACACTGGGCTCCGTCCGTCCGTCCGTCCGTCCTGCCATCCGTCCGTCCAAGTGCTTTTCCGGGCTATAACTTCGAAACTGTTCAACTCAACTTCACAAAATTTCCTATATACATTAAGTTGGTGCCCTAGTTGTGCCTTTTGCTAATGGCGACATTTAACTTTTTATATTTTTTCGGTTACCAAGGAAACTTTGTCAGAAAACACCAAAAAGGGCTTTTCCGATCTATAACTTCCAAACCGTTCAACTCAACTTCACAAAACTTTCTGCACATATTAAGTCATTGCCCTAGTTGTGCCTTTTGCTATTGTCGACATTTCTCTTTTTATATTTTTTTCTGTTACCAAGGAAACATAGTCAGAAAACACCAAAAGAGGGCTTTTTCGATCAATAACTTCCAAACCGTTCAACTCAACTTCACAAAACTTTCTGCACATATTAAGTGGGTGCCCTATTTGTGCCTTTTGCTTTTGCTGTCATTTCACTTTATATGGTTTTTTTCTGTTTCCATGGAAACATAGTCAGATAACACAAAAAGAGGCTTTTCCAGGCTATATCTTCCAAACTGTTTCACTCAACTTCACAAAACTTTCTGCACATATTAACTTAGTGCCATAGTTGACCCTTTTGCTATTAACAACATTTCATTTTTTTATTATGTTTTTTCAGTTTTTGCAAAAATATAGTTAAAAACCTCAAAAGAAGGCTTTTTCTGAGCTACAACTTCAAGGCATTGGCCCCTCAGAGTGTGATCATTATCATTATTATTACATGTTTTACATCTCTTACATAGTAAATCTTTTGTTGCTTGAAGATAGCCGTTATGCCTGAAAACGTTACTGAAATACATTTGTTGTGTTGATTCTATATTTTCAATTATATCTCTATATGTATATCTATAATGATGAAGTTGAGGAGATGTGAGTTTATTATTTTCTACTAGTGCTTTCACTGTAATAGACCTTCACGTGCAAAGAACTGATACATAAGTGTGTGAAGTCTCAAATTATTACAGTGCTATATATAGCATATTTGGGTTCCATACCAACACCTGTGCACGGGGGATAATGCCACGCTTTGCGGCATCTTGTTTCACTATTTCTTGAGAAGTGCTGAATGGATCTTTCATGGTCCATAGTTGTGCTCTTTTGATTTTAGGGATGATCAGAAAAACAAGATCACAACAATCTTTTGTTTGACTGTTAAAGATTACTGTTGCTATTTCTTAGGATTTCTCAAATTTCATATAATTAAGAGCCAATAAGAGAAAATAAGAGAAAATATCTAACTTTTAGCAAACAAATTTGAGATAAAAAATGGTGGGTGCCAAGATCCTCTGAAATCTCTTGGGGTTGTACCTTTCATTTTTGCTGATTGGGATTGATGTTGACTGTTAATGCAATGTTGTCCAAAAGGTGAAATTTTGCAAGTTCTTTAAAATCCTACTCCTCCTGTAGGAATGATTGGATTTTGGTCCAAATTTGATCTGTAGCATGTTTTGGGCAAAAGGGAACCATTTTTTTTTAAATGATGGGTCTTGGCCCCCTAGGGCAGGAGGAAAGGGGCTCAATAAGGGAAATATGTTATGTCTTTGAAACAGTTAAGATCCCCACTCCATGACCATATATAGCCATTTTGGGCATCAAGAGATAAACATATTACTGATGTAAGAACTGGCCCTTGGATGAGGCTCCACCCCTCTGGACTTCATTTCTGGGTTATATCTCTGAATCCATTGAGATCTCTTACAAATAACCATCTATAGCATTTTTAGGTATCTGGCCCCACCCGCTGAAACAGGTGAAATCCCTACCCCATAGCAAGGTGTGTATATATATATACACATTTAGAATTGCTTTGCATCAAGAGATAATACACATTTGTTATGTAATAATTGACCCTTGTGTGTGGCACACCTCTAGGGACATTATTTCTTGGTCATTTTTTTTTTTTACATACCATAGTGGCAATACCAACCAGATAACCATATAATCGAGAAGGAGTCGTGATATAAAAATTTACCAATAGGTCTTGCCCCATCAAAAAAGTTAAGTGACTTAGCTTTAATTTAGAAATATTTGAAATACCCAACCTATGGGCCTATATACCATTGATGGACTTTAAGATCCAGGTGATCGATACAGGCCCTATTGGCCTCTTGTTCTGTTTATGAGATTTGTACTTGTTTCTGATCAACTAATCATGATTGGGTACTGATGTGAGAGGAGCATTGTGTTGTTATGGTAAGTTGTGTCATTGGAACCCAAAAGAGCGTGTGTACTCAATTTAGAAAATTATACATGTAGATTCAATGTGTTGAGTTATAAAGTTTCTGAACTTTAGCAACTGTTTATGTTTCAGGGAAGTTTTCTCACACTACTCATTAACAAGAAAAAATCATTCAAGTTCGAGTCAGATGCCTTACTCGCATATGTTAAAGGGTAAGAATTTTACATACATTTAAATCATAATTCATACAGCATTTGAAAAAAGATATAGTTCTGATGTTTTTTGTTTTTTTTGTTGAAAAACCTGCAAACCTGTACCATATTAAAATAGAAAAGATCAAAACTTCACATCTTCAAACACAACTCACAATAGATGTACCTCAGATTTTGGCTTTTGAAACACTTAATTTCAACCCCCTAACCCCCATAAAATAGTGGCAAGCTTGGGCAAAAAATGTTCAAATGTATGACAAAACCGTATTTAAATGTCACTAAGCTGTTAATATCTGAGTTCTGATTACTAGTGGATTTTTTTTCTGAAAGATGATTTTAGTAGATTTGTGTTTGTTCCACAGACTGCTGTCAGAAATCTCATCAAAAGCTTTCATTTTCTTCCACCTCTTCTGTCTGGGGACAGCTGGCACTTATGCAAGGTAAGCAAAGACTTATCTCAAGATAAATGTTTCAGTATAAGTGAAAAAGCTTGATTGTAACCTCAAATGAAGATCTGTGTTTTATTTCTGTCTTTGGTTGGTTTGTGTTTACCAGATCTAGGCTAAGACCACAGACTGTGGTCACCCTGTACTATGGTAGTCGTGTCATGTGACAGCTAGACCTCCCAAATGATCTTCCATGAGGTAGCCACCAATTATTACAAAGCTGCTCAGGGGAATATACCCAGTAACCAAACTCACCGGTTAAATTTTTTACAATCAGAAACTGTTTTGGTTTTCCACTTGGCTAGTAAACAGAAATCAGCCATGCTGAACTTGTTAGAAAAAAAAAAACAGAAAAAAATGCTCAGAAAACCAGAAAATTCAACAAGTTACAAACTCATTCGAAATATGAAATTATATTCCAAGAATTGCACTGATGATGAATAAATAATATAATTGGTGCTATATTATTACCAGATAAATTTCATTTGATGACTCTATAGATATCTCTTATAACATGATTGAACTGTATTTTGTGGTATAAATGTAAAACTGGGGTTCGATTCCCGCAACGGACGTGAAAAGGTAAGGGGTCACCTGCCCGACCACATGGGTTTTCGCCGGGTACTCCGGTTTCCTCCCACAATAAGACCCCTTGAGCACTTACATCCGGGCCAACAAGAGTGATTAGCATAAGTTGACATAACTTGTTTCGCAATTGTTGTAAAATAAATAAAGTTTATTAAAACATTAAATTCTGCAATATCCATCTTGTTTGACAGGCAAGTATGCATTTTCTTCAATGCAAGTGAACCCATGGCTAAAACTAGATGAATCCATATACTTAGCAATAAGTTCTGGTGATAAGTAGTGTGGGAGATAGGCCTTAACAAACTTTCAACTTGTAGGTCAAAGGTCAATCAAAGTATAGGTCAAAGTTACTTAATTTTTGGTACATTACACATCTCATCACCTAGGTCAACATGTGACCTATCTGATGTATAATGTTCAAATGATGCCAGACAGACACATTTTTGATAGGTTCATAACCAAAATGAAATGAAAAATGTATCAAGTTTAGGAAGGGTTTTAGGCACTTTTTCTTATCATTATATTTTTGGCTACCCCACCATCAATGTACAGTAGTATTTTCATTTGAATATCTCACCACCTTCAGATGCTGGACTGTTTAAATTACTTCCCATCTGTCTTGGTCACTGGTTGTGCCTATTTCATTTTTTTAATTGACCATAAAGATGGGAAAAGATTAAACCGATGAAGAACTTTGTTGTAATTAAGATCAAATGATTGTGGGCATCATATCCCTCAAGGATCCTTTGATCATATCTGAAAAAGTTTTTAAAAAAGCAAAGTTGTACATAAAGACCATTATTATCATATTGATTATGTTTTTTCTTCAGTGGTTACAGTCTACATGCTCGCAGCAAGTCATTCCAACAGACTGTTGTGGCCTTCCTCACCAAGTTAGGGGCACTGGACGGTGATGCTATTATTATACAGGTATGGTAGTCTATTGATGTGCTTGTTGTATAAGTGGTTTGATAGTCTACTGATGTGCTTGTTTTATAAGTAGTGTCGTATCCAAGTACATGGTAAGTTGTAATTTTGAGGGGAAGTAGTGTCCGTTGATAATGTCAAATATGTCACATTGTACTGCATAAAACGCATATTAAATTGCTGTTCTAATGATTCCAAATTCGGAAAATAGTTTTATATTTTGTTGTGTAGGCCTTTGATTATTGTGGCTGTTTTTTAATGACTTGTATGACTGATTGCCGTTTTTATATCACAGTACCTGGCAGAGATGATTAAACATCAGCATATTGAGAACCACTACTACACCACTAGTAATACAGGTATGCCCATCTCTCTCTCATTGCTGTTTATCTGTTTCTTTTCATGTTTGCGAGTCAGCAGCATATCAACTTTAACTATTCACTTTGGTTGGGTCAGGGATGGAAGTACACAATGGCTGGTACTGTGAAAGGAAAGCTGGTGTTGATAAGTAGTATACCTGACTTCTGTTCTTGTTGGATGGGGTGGTTATGGGGAATTGAATCCTTTTTGCCGAGGTGAAAGGGGAGATCACCCTACCATTTTGAAAATAATCTTTGTCCATGTGTCCATTGTTTATCTAAATCTGCTATAATAGTGCTGTTCTGATGAAGGGGATATCACCAGATCAATTTTATGTTACAGGTGTGCCAGTCAGACCTCTTCTTCTACGGAACCAAAACTGTCAAACATTCAAATGCTAAATCCTAGATTCTTCATATATTGTCTTCAAAGTTACATAGAATTTCCGAAGAGCATTCCCTACATTTATAGGAGATGATGGGTCTCGGTAGTTTTTGTAATGATCTTGTTGTCACTTTTTTCACCTTATACATTCCAATGGTTTTTTTACAAGTAATATAGCATGCAAATATGTCATGTTTTCAGAATATATCAATTCTGAAGAAGTAAAACTTTCTACTTTTACACTTGATATGAAATGATATACTCCTCCTTCAATAATTGATCTGTTTTATATTTAAACATGAAACAAGATGTTTTCGTATAATGTTTGCCCAAATTCTATTGAGGTACTGGTAATTTGAAAATTAGAGATACATTTTCTATGCAGGGAAGGTGGAGGACATTTTCACAAATGAAATATTATCATAGATGTCCTTATAAGATGTTTGTACATCTACCGGCTGGTGCAGGCTGGCACTTCAGGAGGACTAGAAAAATGTTCAACTTTATACAATAGGTTGATGGAATCTTAAGGAGCTGCTGCTTCAACCATGTCATATTGAAGATTGTACAAAAGACACAAGTGAACTAAGACATCATAAGATCCAGAATTGAGGATGGGTTTTAGGTTTGTGACAACATTGCTTGTGTTCACCCAGGAAAGTAGAAGAGATCACAACTATTCAGTCTAGCAATTCTTTATAGATGATCGAGAAAAGGATTGTTTTATGAAGAGCAATGAAGTATATTTAAAAATGTTTTAAATTAAGTGTTATAGATGAACATTGGGTAGTGCAATACATATACAGTGTACAGAGTATAGAGTGCCAAATTGTTATTATTTTGTGTTGTAGAGTTAAATGTTATGTTGAAATAGTCATAAATTATAATTTTGAGGGCTTGACATGGATCCCAACTGTATTCCACACTCCAAAGTTTGTATCTTTCAGGAAATATTTGAATATTTCAGAAGTTGATTAATTTTAGTAATAAATGATTAAGATATTAGGTAAATGAATATGCTTCAAACATCAGTGATAGGTCGTCCAAGAATATTATGTTTGTTGCTTTAATTGTGTAGCTTTGAATACAAATTCAAGCCAACTTGTCATAAAATACATCTTTTTCATTATTCCCATTTTTTCGAATGGATAATTTTAGTCCAGCATCTTCATAACCAGCCTCAACAGGGAACTTATTCCCTTTCAAATTCATATTTCAATTATGGACTTGTATATTTCATTTGATAATATTGCTTTACGTTGTGGTCCAGCAAACAGTCATGAACAAGGTTGTTGACGCATGCTATAAACCAAATAGTACCATTCCATTAGTAAGAACTTTATCTTGCCTACTGTTTATTTACTGTACTACATCACTTATAGTCTAGGGACACCTGTCTTTGTTTCTTTATGTATGCTATTACAATTTGAATTACTGTCCCAGAAACTTGCGTTTCTGCATTGAGCTAAAAAGTGCGGGAGTTGGGGTGGGGAAATAGATTTTGGTTGCATGACAGGCAGCATATAATGCTATAACCCATGTCTGTTGTTGTCTAACCCCGTTTGGAAAGAGGGATCGGTTTAATTGGAGAAATAGATTAAAGTGTTTTAATCTATTTCAGCGGTCATAAACATTCAAATCTATGCATATTTTATTTTTATGACAAATTTGTCTTGTCTCCACTTTAATAGTGATAAATGGTGTTAAAGGTAATAATTATTTTAACTTAATATTGACTCACATTTAAGTTGATTTTATTTTTAGAAAATTGTAATGAAATATACACAGACAAAAGCATATTGTAAAGCTGTTTTATTAGTATCAAATGTTTTATTACAATACAAATACTCATGACTTGTTATCATATGAATCATATTTCATTTATAAAATAAAATCACAACAAATGTGTGCTAGATGATGGAACTTCTTCATCTCTGTATAACATACTCTAAATGATGTCAATTTGTAAGGTAAAATCCTGGGAGCTAAGAGTAATTAAATGGGAAATTTTTGGTAAATGTTTTTTAATTTGAAAAAATAATCTTGGTCAATTTTTTTTGAAATTTAGAATAGAAATATGGAGGGCTAAATTTCAGTTTTTATGGGCCCAGTGCTCCAACCAGGATAGTCCCTGCATGCTAAAGGTGAGATATATCTAAAAAAAATGATGATGCAGAATAAAGGTTTGGTAAGGTAAACATGTACAGTAATATGGCAGAGTGAAGCACTAATTTAGTTTTCACAGATTTTTGCAAACGTAAGCAAGTTATGTGGTAAACAGAATCTTGCATTCATTTCCATTTTATTAGATTATGAACTTGTCACAAATATTTGATGTTCATAAATCTCGTAATCGGAAACTCATGTACTGTGACCTTCATATCTACATCAGACAGGAGTAATTACTTTCTCATATAACTCCTGATAGTACGACGTGTATTTGTTTCAATGTTGACAACATTTTTTACATTATTATGCTAAATAAAAAGATGACTATAGTAAGTGGTGCTTTTTTTCAAATAAAATACTTGTGAATGAGGACATTTTTTTTAGCAAAAAGGCACCTGTGGAAAAAAGGAGAACCAAAATGGTATGTTAATCAGTGCCTGTGTATATATCATGTTAAATGAAGCCAGGATAAAACATCAAATGAAATTGTTTATGATAGTTAGGGATTGTGCAAAAATGATCATTATTATTATTGTGTTGTAAAGCAATTTTAATATGTTTGTAACTTGATTATAAAATATGAAATAGATGACATATCACCTTGTACTTGTTGTAATAAAAACATATTACATCGCATCACTGCCTATTATCAATAGTCTGTTATCTAGGTCATAGCTATTTTATGTGCAGAACTATTTTTCAAGGTCAACATAGCTGACCTCTCAGGGTACACTTTAATGGAGTGACCTGGAGGATAACACTGCATGAGATGTAAATTGAAGTCAATATTTCAGGGTAAATGATAAATTAGTAGTGTCTGTAGATTCGAAAATGATAAAAAAAAATCAATGATATTTTGAAATCACAACACCAACTTGTTACAATACTGAATACCAGTATGTATTAAAAGTATGGTATGTTGAGTACAGGTAAAACAAAATATAAAACTTGATGAAACATACATGTATGTCAGAACTGCTACAAATCTAGGCTGTTTAAAACATCCATTGTTAACACATCAGCTGCTGACATAACCATTATGGTGGTTAAGGTATGTCTTGTTCTGGTGACCAACAGATGCTATGCACAGGATATATTAAAATCATTGTCAAAATATCTTAGAAGGTAGCACAGCATAATCCTTTATCATCATCAGATTTTATTTTAATATATGACAAACTCTGAGTACTACTGACAATGTACTACACTCTGATGTACCAAGTCTAATGTATTTATCCAGCAATAAGCCACAGGTCTGATATTGAGTGGAATCAGAAAGAATCTCTATTTCATTATCCTGTGACAGGATGGTAAATTTCAGGTTATAAGCTGGACTTTCGTATTATAGCAGGATAAGTATAATAAACACTGTATTAAGATGTGCAGATAAAATATACTTGTCTTTAGTATTTCATATAAACAAATGTTATCTACCTGAACAGATCTCTCACTAAAATCTATACACATTGGCTTTCTTGAAAACTCTTTTAGTAAAACAGCTAACTTATGTTGTCTGCATCAATACAATCTGAACAAGTAAGGTGTTCCAGTCTATGAAGGGCTTTGAGCCTATTTTGGTATCACAGTCTGGCTACTCCTTCTGGAATACCTAAGGTCTGAAAAACGGACATAAAACGTTTCATGGTGCTATATGCATTTACACAAGCAGGCTCAATAACCAAGAAGTCATCTAGCAAGTGTAAAATGTTACTGATGTTGTACTTGTTTCTTGCTATCAGCACACGGCCTGCGAAAGTCCATCAAAAATTTTTGGACTGGAATGACAGCCAAACACCAGACGTGTAAAGAAGTAATACTTCCCCTCCCACTTGATTCCATGATAAGGCCACATCCAGACTGAAGGGCTTCGCGTCTACTTGGGTATGCTCAGAGTCTATTTGTGTACCACAGTTATATCCAGACTGAAGGGTTTCGCGTCTACTTTGGTATGCTCAGAGTCTATTTGTGTACCACAGTTATATCCAGACTGAAGGGTTTCGCGTCTACTTTGGTATGCTCAGAGTCTATTTGTGTACCACAGTTATGTCCAGACTGAAGGGTTTCGCGTCTACTTTTGTATGCTCAGAGTCTATTTGTGTACCACAGTTATGTCCAGACTGAAGGACTTCGCGTCTACTTTGGTATGCTCAGAGTCTATTTGTGTACCACAGTTATGTCCACACTGAAGGGCTGAGAGCTTATTTTTTGTGACAAATAGTGGTACCCAAATCTATGCAAGGAACAGAGATTCACCTATCTTCTGTAGGAATCAGACAATGGTCCTATTGTTTGTGATGTCAACATGCAACTTACTCAACATAAGATATTACTTTTAAACTGATAAAAGTCTGAAGTAGGCGACTCTGTACGATTTGTCCTGAGTTGTGTCAACACTCATCTTCATTTTATAATCACTTATACCCCAACCTTCTTCATCAAAATACATCCATTGCGCAAGAACATCATCCCAAACTTTACTTCTTTCATGTAAATAGGCTTTTCCTGTGCTTTGTTTTAGGATGGCATAGGAAACAGCATGAAGTTTGTACCTGTAAGAGAATTTATGTCTAATCAAAACTTTGTTTCTACATATAGTTAAAGTTCCACAGAGGTATATAATATTGTATGGATACCACTGAAAATAAAATCCAAATCTTTACAAAAACCATATCTTACTTAATCTTTATAAAACATACACAACCTCTATGCCATGTTGAATATTCTGATAATAATTAATCCAACTGGATAATTTGCCAGTTATCAAACTTTCTGTGAAATGAGCCTTAATAGTAGAAGCTTATATCAAGATAAATGTTCTATATTTGCATTATATACCTGTGAGTTCCAATCACAAATTCTTCAGGCTGTTCATCACCATCAAGCCGAACTGGAAAGGGAATCTCCCTTGTGTGACTGAAAGATGATAGGTACAATGTAGTTTTAGCTTGGAAAACGACACAAGAAAAGGTAATCTCTACTCCTGATAATTCTACAGGTATTTAATTTGGGCAAAACACAATTTTATTTTAATTACAGGTTCTTTTAGGATGTATATTTATCGTACATTAAACTATCACCTTTAGACGCTATTGGAATATACAATATTTATTTGAGAATAAACTCCTGTCTGTGTATGAAACCAACCCCTGTGTAAAGTTGTTCAGACAAATTACATATATGTACTATTCCAAAGTGAGGAATTAGCCCAACTATGATAAATATGGTATGTAAATACATTCTTGAATAATGGTGATATGACAAATGATTGGATTATTTTCCTGATCTAATCACAGAATCACAAATATGTTGTTATGGCAATCATTCCAACACTATCCCAGGCATCTTGCATGTTCAGGCAGACAATTAACACTAACATTGGAGAAATTCATGTAAAACCTGACATGAAATTGTCATGTAGAAAGGACAATGTTCACATTCATTTATAGTGACATGTTTCAATTTTATCCCCTTACAAGTCTAATCAGTTTGTAGGTAATATCAATGTAATACTATGTAATTACGACAACTTTATTATCAATATCCTAACTAATTAGTTATGTCACAACATATCGTCTCCTACTTCTACTGGAAAATACTTTAAAAATGAAGTATAAAAAAGATCTGATCTCCAGTTGAAATAAAACCTCAACTGATGATTGTAAACTCTTAAAGTGAAGTCTGTCTATGATGTCTACTGTTTTATCATTCTTAACTGAGAGCAATTGTCTTTGTGACCCACAGAAAGATGTGGTAAATGAGCAATGACAGATAATCCAAGCATTGAAACACTTTACTATTTAGACTTTTCATATGTGTACATCCTTACCAGAAATTATCATAAACTTGAATAGGTATCTCCCGTAGATAAATAAAAACAAGCAGACTATCCCCTAAATATATCAAGGTCTACATCTGCCCGTTTTACTGTTGTATCTAGTGTCAAGGTAACAACTCTACATTTAAGTTACATACTTTTTTGATCTAATTGTAAAAATCTCAGATGGTCGAGGTGTTGAATGGTCACCTTCAGGAGGGGCAGAAGTATTAAGTGTTACTTCTTCCTGGACACTAGAATTTTCCGATTCCTCAAAGAAGGTTTGGAATGGCAACAGTGGTGGTGGGTCTTTGTCTAGTCTCCTGGTAACATGGATGTTACCATTATTGCTAAAACAGGAAATGATTTGTTCAAATATGTTTCTATGTTTCCTATTACAACAAATTTAAATACTGCATACCAGGCTAATTTCCAAGAAATGTTTGCATAAAGAATTTGCATGACAAATATTAAACTGCTTGATTCTAATTAAGCAAATGCAACATAATACATATTTAGTTCCAGCTCTTAATATAAAACTTTGCAAAAACTAGATATGATTTTGACAGCAAATGGCAAAATTTGTGCATGACTCAATTTTGACATGGTGAAATGAACTTTCTATATACTACTGTGTATATCTATGATAGTTTTTCCAGATACAGAAATACATATATCAGAAATCATGCCATACACACATCCCACAATATACACACAAAAATTCCTCTGATGGAATTTTGGCATTTGCATGGTTTTTAACACAACAAGGCTGACTCACCTGATAAGAAATCTATAATGTTCCCGTTATAGATATTCCTTAACATTTCTTTTTGGTACATGTATGATAAAACAGTAAAAAATATCAATTTGTGGAGATGTCAAGTTTCTAATTTCCCAAGAGCAGGTCTATTTATCTTGGTGAAAGCAATATGCTCTTCAAGGAAACCAGAAACTTCACCTGTTCCTGAAGCTCATATTTTAACTACCTGCAATGCAATGCATGTTTATCACACTTCAAGCTAGGTTTAGTTATTGGTCTGTAAATGTTATACAAATATGGACTTTTAAGAAAAAATGAATCCTTAAATACACTATTGTACTAACCATTCTGGACAAGACATAATTTCATCACTCCAATCAGTAATTAGTTCCTGCCAGCTTACAAACGGCCTGAAAATGATAATTCAAAAATTTAGTCAGCACTGATATAATTATGAATATATAGCTGCGAAATCATATGTCATAGTGTATTCTCAAGTGTATCTCATGGAATTTTAAAGTGTATATGAAACATATGCTGAAATATTATTACAATGTATAATGAATATCTGCCGAAATACTGCTAAAATGTCATCATGGACTATCTCCTGAATTACTGCTACACTGTATATATAATATCTCCTAAACAATTACAGTTTATACAGAATATTGTCAGAAATACTATTAAGTGTTTATCCTGCAATACAAATGTATTGCAATTCTGAAAATATCAAGAAATACATCATATTATTTGAAATATCTAAAATTAACTGAAAAATCTTGTTACACACCTTTCAAAATTAATCCTTCATGAGCTCCAAATTAGTATGTAAATTTCATAGGATGCAACCATGTAAAAATCAAGAAGAAACAGCAACACTGGTACAAGCATTAGTTGTTAGTAGTGATGTCAATGGCTTACTTATTCATAAATCTCTTTGAAATCTCTTTGATGCTGTCCTGGAATTTCTTTTCTATTTCAGTGCCTCCCTTATCAACAGTACAGGCCTCATTAGTGCAGCTAGAAATCTTCTCAAACACCTTTATATCAAGTACTTTCAATATCCAATCTGCTTCTAATTCGGTTCTAAAATCCAATTTATAATCTTTTGGCAGCGGTTTCCCATGTTTTGTCCAAAGGAACATTTTGGCTTCGTCATTTTTTCCTTCAAGGCACATCTTCGCAACATTGTACAAACACTAATGACAAGAAAAGAAATTGAGAAAGGGATTAGTAAAATTATTGTTGAAGTTAATCTGCTTTAATATAAAATAGTAATATAAAATATTAACATGTCATTAGGTAATTAACTCAAACCTAGCAAGAATCTTAATGCCCAGCATGTTTTATCTATTTTAGGCACTACCAACAGCTAAACACAAACGTAGCTTAATAGAATACAAAAGATCCCAGAAATCTTGGCGCCCACCATTGTTTGTTCTTTGTATGCTCTTTGAAAGTTGGATCTTTTACCTTCTTTTCTCTTCTCTGATTTTGCTCATGATAAAACATTTGAATATTCCTTTGCAGAAATAGTGATGATATTTACTTGCCAAATCCAAAGGGCCACCTAGAAGCCATTTTCTTTCTTCTGATCAGTCCCAAATTCAAACAAGCACAATGAGAGACCAAAGGGAACATACAAATGAAATTTGAGAAAGATCCATTCATGAAGTACTTAAGTAAAAGCGATAACAATCATTACTAGGCATAGTTCAAGATGGCCATTTGTCGACCATTTTGTTTTTCTGATCAGACCAAAAATCAAATGGGCACAAATAGGGACAAAAGGGAAGTTACATATGAAATGTGAGAGAAATCCATTCACTTCCTCTTAAAAAATTGCAATAACAAACTTTCAAAGTCAAAATCCAAGATAGTCACCCGTCAGCCATTTTGATTTCTTATCAGTCCCAAAATCAAAAGGGCACAACTAGAGACCCAGAGGAATCTTCAATGAAAATTTGAGAAAGATCCGTCCAGTGCTTCTCAAGGTTGCAAACCCGACCAGACCATGGACCCAGGGTGATTTGCATAGCCCATCATTGGATGATTGTGGGCTAAAAATTTAGGCTAGACACAAACAAGAGGGCCACATGTATCACTCACCTGGTTTAGTTTGCTGAAATTGCTTCACCTAAACTAAATTGTTCTATTTTCTGTATTGGGTCCCACTCCTCCCGCCAACATTTATACAAAATTTGCTACCCTTCCCTGATTTATATGTTTGACCAAATTTGGTCAAAATTTGCTCAGCTTTTCAATTAGTAGCAATTTGTCAATGAAATTGATTGAAGAAGGAACCTGGTGAGCTAAACATTAGAATTGGCACTGGTAAGTCTAATGCATTGAAACTTCACTTCAGGTATACCTATTTGGGTATGTATTTAGGACAATGATTCATCGGTCTACTATTTCGGTGAAATATATATAAAAACTAGAAAATGTCTGTAAGACATGAATGCCCCCCCTCCATGTGAAATAATAGTGAAAGGTCCGAAAGAATGAAGTTGTTAGGTGGTATATACTGATTTGGGACGGGACGGGACGGGACGGGACGGACAGACATGGGCAACGCTATATGCCTCCATAAATGGCGGGGGCATAAAAAAATATGTATCTAAAACATGCATGTAATACCTTGTAATGGGAATGAAGGAGTACATATTCCATTCTTGGATGAAGCTTTAACAACATGAATGTTGTAAACAAAATGCAACTAATCTGACAGGTGCAAATCATCTTTATACTTCTTTCTTTTATCTTCCAACATCCTCCTGCAGATGGCAGCAACTTCTGGACTAAAATAAATGCAAGACCATGTAACATTCAATTTTCAAGTGGAACAAAAAATTTCTACTTTTGAAACATGTAACAAGTATTTTAATGAAATCATTAGCATACGAAAATGGTGATATATATATATGCCATGATCACAAACTAAATACATTAAAATGATATACCGTATCTGACCCAATAAGCACCCATGTCCCTATAAGTGCCCGCTTCCCCCTTCAGATACCTAAAAGTCTAGATTTACTTACGTATTAGTCACGATCAAGAATTCTTTTAAGTCAGTTTATAAGGAGATGTACTCCAGTAAAACGTAAAAAACAGTTTATCTCCAGTCCACCAGCAACAGAGGAATGTCGATGTGTCCTCTGTAACTACTACCACAATTTTCCCACTATGCCTGATAAAAAAATCAGCTGTTTTTGACAGTTCACTTGGAATGTGACCCACTGTTTTCCCTTCTTTCACAACACTGATTGCAAACTTGTTAAACGGATTATTGTCCTAAATAACTGTATCAAGACACTGTCCTATGAATGGTTTTCAACACTCTCTATAAACATGATATCCCCTGACCACAGACGAATATTCATACATAAAAGACATTTTTTTCACACATTCCTAAACCACGTGGTACATGACCTTTACCTTGTGCACCTTGGTGTCGTGCACTCAGCCACAGTAACGACAACTGAATAGGCATAGTCCATTACTTAACAGGTAAGATAGCCATTGATACAACAGATTAAGAAATGATATTTTCATGTGTGATAGATTATCTGACAGAAAGAAATGAAGCAGTTAGATATCAAAATGACAAATAAAATAGTTGTGCTAAAACAGGCAAGTATAAATGGAATTTTATATCTTTATCATAAACAAATTCCCTTTCGTGTCATCATGTTAAGATGTTCTGAAACAATTCATCGACGAGCACATAATGACAGAGTGCACTTTGTTACCTAGAGGTTGACACTGAAATTATAGCGACCACAGTTCTCATCACAATCTCACAAAGGGGGCCGAATCAAGTCGTATGAAATTTCTTTCAAGTTAAAGGTTATGGAGCTTGCCAAGGAATGGGGAAATAGCAAAGCATCAAAGCAGTACGTAATAGATAGGAAGCGAATTCGCAATTGGAGATAAAAAGAGAGTGAATTGAAAACCTCTTTACAGAACACTTCAAAAAGGAGAAGTAAAGCTCCTGGTGGAGGCAGATTTTTTAGCACTGAATGTGTTTCTTTTACATCTAAGATGGTCTCTAATAAGCGCCCCCTTAATTGTATTTTTTTAAGCACCCTGGGCGCTTACTGGATCGAATACAGTAGATGGTTTTGCTGAACTTAAAACACTGCGTAGCTTTTTATAACCTTACATTTGGTGTTATTGCTTTCTATATACACATATATATATATAAATATATATATTCTACAAATTCACAATTCACTGAAAATTCCTGTCCAATAATAATCAATTTTAGTTTTAATATTAACAGCCATGAAAATATTTTCTCAAACTGAAGTATCTGATATAGTCTGACCTAGCTATAATGCTATACCATATACCACTTCCATCTATTAATTAGATTGACTTCCATACAGATATATCTAATAGCGTAAAAGTCCAGCAAATGGAAATAACAGAACTTGTATTTATATACTACCCTTTACAAGAGTAACAAAAGGCCTGGCGGCCTTGACGGTCACCTGAGATACGCAATATTGAATATAAAGGTTAAAGGATTGTTATCGAGTGTTATGAAACAGAAATTGTGACACTGAATATAGACAGTGTCAATACATGCATTCCTGTCATCAAAACTGTCATCCTATACTGATATTCTTATAAAGTTATTTCCAGTGGGAAATAACCTCCCCATGGGAAAATATGACACCCTGGGGCCATTAAATTCATAATTTTGGTAAAGTCATTGGGGGTCAGTCAGGACCAAAATGGGCATACCATCAAGCCGTCATCCTTCACTCATAAATCTAACCAACTGTGAAATATTTCCAATGGAAATTAAACAAATTATGCAAAAAAATCTAATTTTCCTATATAAACTATTGACCCCTTTAGGCCCCACACCTTAGTCACCTGGGGGTGGGGACTGCAAAATTCATAACTTTTGTTAATCTTAGGCCAGGGAAGGTTTCTGCAAAGTTTCATTGAAATTAGATCAGGGGTTTTTGAGGAGTTGAAAGTGTTAAATTTTTTTTTATGGTCGCACGACACCAGATGAAGGGTATTAGAACCAGCCACCATAAGACTTTGTCTCAGATTACCTAAAAACTGTATGAAAACAGCTTTATTCATGTGTGAATAGGTGTACATGATTCATTGAAAATTGGGAATTTTTTTTTTTTTTAATTTATATTTGTATATGTATGACGACAAACCAAGCTAAAATGTAATGGTAAGAAAGTTGTTACTTAATAAACTGAAGGGATTAGAAATCTACAGGACCCTATATACAAAGAAAAATATAATTCTGTCGTGAGACACTTACAATCAGCTGTGTATTCCAGTTCCCCTTTTCCTGTCTGTCCAGCATGTGGGTCTGTCTTCCCAAGTACCCTTTGAAAACCTCTATCAGCTTGATGCTCAAGTAGCTTCGGTACCAGTTTAGCATCATGATCAGTGTTTTGTTTGGTCTGGTCAGGTACCAGTTGAACGTCATGATCAGTGTTTTGCTCTGTCTGGTCTGGTACCAGCTGAGAATCATGATCAGTGTTTTGTTCTGTCCGGTCTGATACCAGCTGAGAATCATGATCAGTGTTTTGTTCTGTCCGGTCTGGTACCAGCTGAGAATCATGATCAGTGTTTTGTTCTGTCTGGTCAGGTATCAGTTGAGCATCATGATCAGTGTTTTGTTTGGTCTGGTCAGGTACCAGTTGAACGTCATGATTAGTGTTTTGCTCTGTCTGGTCTGGTACCAGCTGAGAATCATGATCAGTGTTTTGTTCTGTCCGGTCTGATACCAGCTGAGAATCATGATCAGTGTTTTGTTCTGTCCGGTCTGGTACCAGCTGAGAATCATGATCAGTGTTTTGTTCTGTCTGGTCAGGTATCAGTTGAGCATCATGATCAGTGTTTTGTTTGGTCTGGTCAGGTACCAGTTGAACGTCATGATCAGTGTTTTGTTCTGTCCGGTCTGGTACCTGCTGAGAATCATGATCAGTGTTTTCTTCTGGCTGGTCAGATACCAGCTGAGAATCATGATCAGTGTTTTGTTCTGTCTGGTCAGGTATCAGTTGAGCATCATGATCAGTGTTTTCTTCTGTCTGGTCAGGTATCAGCTGAGCATCATGATCAGTGTTTTGTTCTGTCTGGTCAAGTATCAACTGAGCACCATTCACAGGGTGTTGTTCTGTCTGGTCAAGTATCAGTTGAGCATCATGATCAGTGTTTTGTTCTGTCCGGTCTGGTACCAGCTGAGAATCATGATCAGTGTTTTCTTCTGGCTGGTCAGGTACCAGCTGAGAATCATGATCAGTGTTTTGTTCTGTCCGGTCTGGTACCAGCTGAGAATCATGATCAGTGTTTTCTTCTGGCTGGTCAGGTACCAGCTGAGAATCATGATCAGTGTTTTGTTCTGTCTGGTCAGGTATCAGCTGAGCATCATGATCAGTGTTTTGTTCTGTCTGGTCAAGTATCAGCTGAGCACCATTCACAGGGTGTTGTTCTGTCTGGTCAGGTATCAGTTGAGCATCATGATCAGTGTTTTCTTCTGTCTGGTCAGGTATCAGTTGAGCATCATGATCAGTGTTTTGTTCTGTCTGGTCAGGTATCAGCTGAGCATCATGATCAGTGTTTTGTTCTGTCTGGTCAAGTATCAGCTGAGCACCATTCACAGGGTGTTGTTCTGTTTGTTGATATCTGGAACAAAGGACACGTGACCCGGATGTTTCAGGTTTTCCTCCAGGTCTTCCAGAACATGCTTGCCTAGGTTGACACTCTTGTCCTATGTTTTCTACTATGTCTTCTGAATAATACAAACATACATATCATTATAGTTAAAATGTCAATGCCAGGGGAACAGTCTGGCGTATTTACATCAATATTATAACAAGGTTTTAGTTGTCTAAATAATTTAGTTGAAAGTGTACTAATGACCTCCTCTGTGTTGCTTGTATGTTAAAAAGAATATCATACAATTATCTTATTACATGTATGATAGTCTTCTTAACATATCATCAACACAGGAAAGGTCATCAGTATTAAGAAATGGGGGTCCTACAGATTAAATACTGTAATGGCAAAGACTTTAACACCCAATTTTACATTGTAAAGTTTCAGTTCCAATTGAAATATATAAAAAAAATTCTATGATTCCAGTTTATCATAAAATAAAGTTTTTGGTTGTTGGACTAACAGAATGTTTAGGCCTAGGTTGAGTTTTGCAGGCCTTTACGTCAGCATTTACATCCAAATGATCAAAGTTTTGTTTACCAGTGGAGTTCCTCCCATCCAGTATCTCATCAGGGCAAACAGGTGTTTCCTCCAATACTGCTGATGAGGCTTGTGTTCCTGTCAAATCTCTCCGAGAGATTATGATCTCCTGTGGTCTCGGGTTTACACACACTCTTCCCGAGACAGATTCCCCATCTTGTCTAATGTGGAAGCAGGATGTACTTGAATGCTGAGCTAGATCCAAAGCTTCAATTGCAAAAGATGTTCTGCTTGGAAAGAGGTCAGTGGTACTACAGGAAGGTAGAAAATGGTAATTTAAAAACCTACTTTCTGATGGGCTTAAATAATGATTTTCTTGACTACTAAAGGTCTCACTATCAATTAATGATAACGACATAAAACTGGAAGATAGTTGTGATCCATTCACAATGGTTACATCAAGCCAAGAAGATGTTGGTTCAAGTTTTTCTTCGTATAAGCTTGACAGGCTTAGTGAGGAACCTGAAAGGTCCAATTGGCTAAATTCTTCAGGAAACTCCTCATGGTGAGTATTTGCTGATTGTCTAGCATGCTGACTGGAATCGCTTGTGAGCTCTGAGTTATCATAAGCATTAGGTTGAGAATGAAGACTGTCCGTAAATTCCGTTGGATGTATTTCTGGTGAGGCAACTATCTCATCAGGACGATGACTGTTTCCCTTCTTTATCTTCCTTCTTATTTGATGCCATAGTTTTGAAACAAGTTTCTTCATATTCATTTTGATTTTAATTTTCAAACTGGCACTGACTGTATTTTTTCTTTTAATCTATCTTCAATTATGTTCTCTTCTTCCAAACACAAACCTGAAAATAACAAAATTTATTTAATGATAGCTCATATGGGCAAGGATCAGATAAATGGAAATAGTTACGGGCGTCACATCGACTATTTAATTGTTGTTGAAAACCTTATTTTTTAGGCTTTTTATAAAGCTTGAAACCTTTTCTTCTTAATAAAAGCAACTAAAAGATAACTGGTCCATTTCAATTGAAAACAAGAGGCCCATGGGCCTTAACGGTCATCTGACAAAAAGCAAGCCAAACCTAGAAAGTGGGTTGAGGTCATTCATTTGAACAAACTTGGTAGCCTCTCCTCCAAGCATCTTACAGGCCCAATATCAGCACTCATGGACTTTTGCTTGTTGAGAAGAAGTCGTTTGTATATTTTAACATATTTGACCCCTGTGACCTTGAAAGTGGGTTGAGGTCATTCATTTGAATAAACTTGGTAGCCTTTCCTCCCAGCATGCTACAGACCCAATATCGGCACTCATAGACTTTTGCTTATTGAGATGAAGTCCTTTGTATATTTTAACATATTTGACCCCTGTGACCTTGAAAGTGGGCCAAGGTCATTCATTTGAACAAACTTTGTAGGGCTCCATGCCAGCATGCTATGGGCCAAGTATTAGCCCCCTAGGCCTTCTAGTATTTGAGAAGAAGTTATTTAAAGATTTTGACATATTTGACCCCTGTGACCTTGAAAGTTGTTCAAGGTCATTCATTTAAACAAACTTGATAGCCCTTCATCCCAGCATGCCACAGGCACAATATCAGCAATCTGAGCCTTTTGGTTATTGAGAAGAAGTTGTTTAAAGATTTTAACATATTTGACCCCTGTGACCTTTAAAGTGGGTCAAGGTCATTCATTTGAACAAACTTGGTAGTCCTTCATCCCAGCATGTCACAGGCCCAATATCTACACTCTGAGCCTTTTGGTTAATGAGAAGAAGTTGTTTAAAGATTTTAACATATTTGACCCCTGTGACCTTTAAAGTGGGTCAAGGTCATTCATTTGAACAAACTTGGTAGAGCTCCATGCCAGTATCCTCTGTGCCAAGTATTAGCCCCCTAGACCTTCTAGTATTTGAGAAGAAGTCGTTTGAATGAAAAGTTTACGGACGGCGCACGGCGGACGGCGCACGGCGGACGACGACGGACGAAGCATGATGACTATAGGTCATCGGACCCTTCGGGTCCAGATGACCTAATAAAATGCTATAAAGTTCAAGTGGACAACTGTGATGGACGTAACATTGACATTTAAAATCAATGTTTTTTGGCATTTTTAGCACCACATATTGAAGATTTTATTAGCCATTTAGAAAATATAGAGCAGTATTATCCAAGTGTTTCTTTTAAGTAAAGCAGCTATTTTCCAAAAGCACCATTTCACCTATTTTATTGATGTGATGGACGTAACAGTATTATGCACCATTTTTTTTTTATTATTTAAAGCATCCAAGTTCAGAAGAAACAGAATGTATTGTATTTCTTTTATGAAAATCAATAATTTTCAAGATTAAAGCAATGCTTTCAATTATAATAATGCCAAATTTTCAAACATTTCAACATTTTAGGTTGTTTTTCCGTATGGACGTAACTTTTGACAGATTGACATGTTGATACTTGAAGCTTGGTTGGAGGTAACAAATTGACACAGATATTGCAAGTGACAAAGAAAGAAAGATTTAAAACAATTACGAATCAACCAATTTTATTTTGAACGTTTCACATCATGTACAGCCATCTTTGGTCAGCTCATGTCACATTTGTTAGAAATCTGGAATAAGATGTAATAAAAATATGTAAGTATTTTAGCAAAAAAGCAGTTACTTATGTGTTTTTTTTTATCTTAAATGTTTTTTAACAATGAGTAAAGTACTTATTTTAGTGTTTTATCAAAATTTGTTATTTATATCTTATCTTTTGAATTATTGAATTATTTTCCAGCAATGTTAGTAATAATATGTACCTTTAAAAATATTACGTCCAAAGCATTCACTGATGTCAAAGTAATGTGTCCGTCACAAGGTATGTGAAATATGGCCCAGCGGCGACGATTGTTCGTGTAAAATTGCAAATGTTTAATTTCGTTTTAATAGTTTCAAGTAAGTAATGCGAAGAAACTCAGTTACAAAAAATCTGCTGTAAATTTGAAGACGATGGTGCGCCCGTAACAATTGACATGACTAACTGTCAATCTGTTACATACGTTCGTGCATAACTTGTCAAAATGTTACGGGCGACCGGCAAATCGTTCATCATACTCCTTGTGCTCTACATTTATTTTCGAAAAAACGTCTGAATGAATGCGTGACAGTGTTAAACTGAATCACAACTCAAAATTGTATACATTTATCGTACCGTTCGTCATCTATTCACATTCATAAAATTACGTGATACCCGTAACAACTGAGAATATGTTGACCGATCGCACACACAGGCACTCGAGGCCAGGATATTATCTTTTAAACATTGATTTTTGTTTTAGCTAAAAAATAATATCCTGGCCTCGAGTGCCTGTAATCGCACATACTCACACAGAGGACATCTTCCGACTGTACACCACTTTTGGTGACGTTATACACACAATGGCACACTAAAGATGGAAACAGCAAATCGTGTCGCAATGTAGTATCCGGAAACCGTAAATACCGGACCCGAACGCCTGTAACAAAATTGACCGAATTCCACACGGGGGAAGGAAAATACTTCAAATTAGCTCAATATATACTCTGACATGTCTAGAACGTTCTGCACTTCGTTAATTGATACTATTTATGTAGTCATTTTTTTCCTGATTATGCTGCGTTGGGTCACACTAAAATAAAACCAAAAATCTAGCGACATCATGTTTGACCCTTCAAGTTACGTCCATCACAGCATTTTGTCTTTATATTTTTAAACGATAAAACAGATGATTACTTTAATTATTTGGGTTATTTATTATCTTTAATATCTTAACTTTGATGCCTATGCTTCATCTTTTCTGGCTCATTTTCACAAAACTGAAAATTTTGGATTTTGACATGCATGGTTCTGAATACCCTTATATATCTTTCGATTTTAGTTGACATTTCCAACAAATTTGAATATTAATCAAATATTGTAACAGGTGCTGACACCATGTTATTTCAGTTATATGCACTGTCAAAATTGAATTAAAATAACTCTTGTGATGAAATATTCATATATTTTTCATTGAGAAATAAGTCTTATATGTGACGCCCGTAATTATTTCCATTTATCTGATCCTTGCCCATATATACTGAGCTACTCTTCTATGCACGAAACATTCTCAAATTAAATGGCACAGCTTTACAAGCAAACATGAACACCATATTTTGCATTTCTAATAGCAGACTTTGTTTTCCTCATATTGCATATGCACGGACTTCAATTACAATCATAAACAAACTACATCTACATGTATAATGGCAATGCAGTTTTCAAATCTGAACTACCTTAGCCCTGTGTAGCCTCTTAATCAAAGATAAAGGAGTACAGTGTCCTAAAAAGATATATATCCTGTAGAAATACTACAGAACATACATATAAAGTGAGAGAAAAATATTTTGTCGCAGTGGGTCAAGTCAATTATAGAGATAGTATTCACCCATAAGATAGCTATACTTCATTTAATTAAAAAAAGAATGATTACTCTGATCTTTTCAGACATTCCGAAAAGTATTTTGGCATCACTGGACATTCGGTCCAGTAATGTTAGGGGCTTCACTGGACCGAAACAGTTTTTACCGGACCGAAAAAAAATAATACAAAAGACCAACTCTACACGCTTAAATGCAAACATTTATTAACAAAGATACAAGGTACATGTTTAATCCAACAAAAAGGTACTCATTTTAATATTGTAATGATGTAGCTTCTAATTGATGGCAGAAAAGACAACTTGTACACAGTTGTAGGTGCAAGACACATGTGTATTCTTCCACCATTAGTGTACAACTAAAAAACAGAACGGAATGCGGAATAACATGAAAACAATGCCAAATGGGGATTGAATGTCCATAATAAAACTGTTATCTTCACACTGCCCCCCTCTAGGCTCCTTTGAGCCCCTTCAAAGGCTCAGCCGATCTGGTTTGCGAACGGGACGACCACAACGGGTCCGCTGTGGACTGTTGTGATCATCCGTGTTGTCCTCATCCTCCACTCTAATGTCGCTTGTTTGGGTCTCCACATTTGGAACACAAGAAGGCTGTGGTCGGTTGTGATCCTCGGCGCGATCTTCGCCTTCCGCTAGGCTATCGCATAATTTTAATGAACCCAGGAAGGCACATCTTCGGCATGAAAAGGCTTTAAACAATCATGATGTTGAATGGACGTTTTGGTCCGATCCATTAGTTTGTATATCACTGGTCCAAACTTCCTAGCGATGACGAAAGGCCTCTTCCATATACTCTGTAGTTTTGGGGACTTTCCCTTGGTTCGCAACCGATCTTTTAGTATGAGCTTTCGAAGGCTCGGACATCGTACAGCTTTTTCCGACGTTTTTGGGATGAGTGTAGGAACTTCCTAGCTATTTCCTGGGTCTGATGCCTGGCTTCAAGTAATTGGCTCAAATAGGTGGGAATGTCATTTGGTTCTCGCAAAGCACAGGGTTGCCGATAGACCAAGTCGTGAGGCTGGTGCACTTCCCTTCCCAGCATGAGGAGGTTTGGTGAGAACCCAGTAGCTTGGTGAGGAGTACTCCGATACGCTGATAGAAGAAGAGGGAGATTCTCGTCCCATTGCCTCTGCGCCTTGTCCACATAGCATCTTATCATTTGCAAAAGAGTGCGATTAAATCGCTCTACCTGACCGTTTGAAGCGGGGTGATAAGGTGTTGTGCGGGTTTGGGTCACCTCTGGCAGTTGACACAGCTTTGAAAATAGCCCACTCTGGAAATTTTTCCCTTGGTCTGTGTGGATCTCTAACGGGGCGCCAAAACGCACAATGAAGTCCTCCAGTAATTTCCTGGCCGT